AAAGTGGAAAACATGAGGGAGAACTTAAAAAGCATCATATTATGGATGGTGTATGCGTAGGCTGAGCAACTGTTCTACCATGTGAAAGTGAAACATGGTGAGAGTAGGACATTTATGAAGAAGGAACTTTGAATTTAGGCAAAGCCTTTCTTTTTATCGATCTAATAACTTCACATGTGTTACTGCATTTACTTATCTGATCCTACCAGATGCACCTTATCAGTGTAGATCAAGGGGAGGAGTTGCCTAAGTCTTTCTGCAAAGTTCATTTTGTTGCTGCCCACCTTAATGATCCTGATCAGCCTCACCTGGGGCAGCCCATGGGCTCTATTTTAGCTCAGTCCTGGGGTTTAGCTCTTTCCTGAGTTATGCTGGTCTCTAGCTCTGCTACAGACATATCCAACCATGGATGCCCTGGATCCTGACCTGCAGACTGACTACCTGGCCCATCCCTGTGGAGGTGCCTGATGCTCTGGGATGTGCACTGGCTGTAGAAACCCCTGTGCTTCCAGTTCCCCTGGGGATTTTCTGTGGGTCCCAGCCCTCAGGCTGCTACATGGTTATTTGATATTAATTGTGTGATATTCTGTAGGGAGGAAAATACTTCCAGGAAGAAGGAGTCATGGAAGAAGAGTAAAGGTGCTGATTTTTACAAAATTCTAAATAGATATGTGTCATAGACCTAGGACAAGGTCCTATTTCTCCTAAACCACAGCAGTAACTTACTTCCAGGAACAAAGAGATAAATTTGTGTCTCTTCCTCTGTTCTCTAAAGCTGCATTTGAGCATGAGGTTGAAATATTTAATGTCTTCGCAAACTACAAAATTGTTTTTTTCTGGTTTGCCTTTTTTTTTTTTTTTTTGGGAGGGGGTAGGGTTTTGGGTTTTTTTCAGTCCTTCAAATCTATTTTTCTTTCCCGTGGCACCTGACATTTCCCAGCCTGTTGTGTGGTGTCAGCAAGGTACATTTAGCTAATTCCTTCACCTTGGAGAAGGAAGATTGCAGCACTCACCTGTGCGCTGACAAACCCCTCTTTTGAAGGGAGTGTTGAGTGAGCAGCAGCCAGCAGTTGTCATCTCTCTTTGTCTTCCTAAAACTAGGAGAATCTTCTCACAGTGCAGCTACATCCTCCAAGACCTCTTTCTTGCGCTGGGACCTTCCCTGCTGTGCCACTGATGGGGAACTACTGTAGGGGAGAGGTGAGGTTGGATGCTTTCAATGAAAGGTCAGAGATAACATGCAGATAAGCCCTGACCTGTGTTTTGTGCTGGTCTACATTGTGTGGAAAACATTCTGGAGAAATCAGCTTGGTCTCTTGACTGCATCTGCTCAGTGTGATCTCTCTTAGATATGATAATATGTCAACTGCATAAGCTTTTCAGTGTTAGCATTTATGCAGGCAAGCCTCCTTGCTAATACACTAATCCTGCTGCATAGCTCCACAATCATTAAATAAATAATAAAATGTGCCTTGAGGTCAGCTCCAGATGGTTCATTTAAGACAGCCAAAGAACAGCATTTAGATTCTAAGGTGACATACCCTCTTTGATTCCTTTCTTAGCATAGCACTACATTTGGAAATGTCGCAGTTTGGGGTTTCTTTTCAAGTAGGGCATGCAAAGCCACAGTATCTCATTCACTAAAAACAGCCATATGTGTGGTTCCCTGTTAAGGGAATTGTGCTGAGACTTGCACCTGCCATCTGTGAATTTAATACTGTGATTCTTGTGAGCCCTCTGTGCAGAAGTGAGAAAGGGCTTTACTGAACCTATAAGCTGGACAGTCTTTATCTCCTTCGCAGATCACTTGTGTGTATTATTTTTCCTGTACAGACAGTTATTTTGGACATATAGCATTTGTTATAATTTCCCCTGGAAATGCAGCTTGATTTGTTGTAGGGCTGCATATTTACGGAGAGCTCATGTGCTCTGTTACAGATGGGGTGGGCTTGTGGTTTACAGGACAGTAAACATGTTTGAACCAGCTCTGCAAGGGCTCACGGAGAGAGCAGTGAAGCTGATGTAACAAACTGAGGAACTGCCTGCCTTCCTTGCAGCTGTCATATTTATTTGCGAAAGATATTGTTTCAATTTGCTATATAAACACTCACTGGTCTCTCAGATAGATCCCTTGCTCGGATAAATGTGTTGATCACTTTTTTTTTTTTTAGTGTTTGCAGGAGCTTGGATTGTGAAGCAGCAGAAATAAAGCAGAATATTCTGAAGAAATATAGCAGCAACATCTCCTGTACAAGAACAGATTGTTCACCAGTTAACTGAGCTAAGATACTCAGCTCTGTTGCAGACAGTGCTTTTGTGACAAATGCTGCTCATCCAACATCACACACCTTTACCTACTTCAGACGGACACTGGGAGAGCAAGGTAAGTTATAGCAGGCTTCCACATTGCAGGTTACTTTGTCTTTCTGCCAGACAAAGCTCTTCCTCCCCTCTGTGGAGAACCAGAAGAAATACAGCTCTTCCTTTGTCTTATGCCTGGTGCTGCTTTCCAGGAAAGGCTGGACAAAGATGATCTGCATCCACAGCCCAGGCTGTCCCTCAAACCTGCCACGGCCACTGCATGGTTAAGGACCACTTTGTGTCACGTGAACCATTTATTTCTGCCTGGAGGGAGATAAGTGCTGACTCCCCTGGGGTGGTGTTTGATAAATGAAACCAAACCTCAGTGTTAAAGAAAAGGATTGTTCCAGATGTGTAAGGCAGAAGGGCAAAAGGACGAGCTGAGCTTTGAAGATGAAATAGAAACAGCACAGTGCAAAGAAGTGTTATAAAAGTGGTTGCTTTCAGCTAATATTGGATGGAGGTGATTCTGTGCTTTGACACTGAGCTGCTTAGGTAGTTAATGATAAATTCTTGAATCTTTGGATGTGTTTAAAATTACATTTCACACCCCCAAGGTCTTTTCATGCAGGCAAATGAGAAATGGAGCTTTTGTGAAATTGTGGAGTCAGCAACCTTCTCTGTTTGCATCAAACCACTTTTTAGTATAAGGTCATATAGATATTCTATTGAAGAGGATCCCTGGACATTTCATATCATCAATTTATTGTGCAGGGCCCTGTCATCCTGACTCAGCACAAATACTGAGTCAGCTGGAGCAGGTGAGCAGGAAAATCTGGGGAAAGGATGCCTGCAGGGAGGAAAATGCCAGCACGTTCTTTTGACTTCGCTCCCCATAAGCCCTTCCAGCTGGTGAAGGGGTTTCCTTAGGCCTGAAGGTGGAGAGCAAACTAGAGACAGAAGGAAGAGTTAACTGTGATCCCATTCTTGGTCTCTAATCCTTGCTCCAGGCTCTGTAGCGTTTTGACCTCAAGGCAGCTAAAATTTAGGCTTCCAGCCACATCATGAAAGGTATTTAATTTGAGTCATTGCCTGTGACCTGTATTTTTGGGTTATCTAATCAGGAAAAAAACCCCACAACCTTTTCCCAAAGATGGAACCACTGAAATGAAAGGGAAGATGAAGGAAATAATTCACCTTCTTAAGCAGAAGGAACCAGTGGTATTATACAGGAGGAGTCTACAATCTCCTCAGTCCATCAAACATCATTTTAAGGCTTATGGGATGTGAAAGGAGCCTTCACATGCAACTCAGAGTCCAGCTAGATTATCTCCTCTGTGGGATTGCATCTTCAATTCATTCCAAATTCTGGACTTGGTAGGCAAACTCTCTACTTTATATGTGACACAAGCTTTTTTGATCACTTTTTAGTGCTAAATTTTTACTTTTAGGTCCAAAGAGCATGAAGCTTTTACTAGCTCTGTGTGAGTTTCTGTCTCTAATAATTTTAAAATCTGTTTGTTGACTCCAAGTACACTTGACAGCCAGAGAATTGGAAAGCATATATGGAGCCCTTGATTTGCAAAGTGCCTAATGTGGACTGGTTAGGTCAGCAATAGGGCCTTTAAGCAATCAGATCCTTACAACAGCATGATATACAGGAGCAAAGGAACAGTTTACTGAGACTGTAGGTTTTAGAAACCCCAAACAATGTAGTGGTACATGAAGTCACCACAAAAAGGTGTGCTTTGTACAGAATGCACTACAAAGTGTTTCAGAGATAGGTGGTGCAGACAGGTGCTCTGCCTGCAGAGAGACTGAAAGTGTAATTTGAGCAGCAACTAGTTGGGAAAGGTCTGGAAATGAAAATCTTCATTCAGACACTGGGAAGGAACATCCAGCTGTTGGGATAGCGAAGCACTAATACAGATAATCAAGGAAGGAGTGGAATCTCATCTGTGGGAGAACCACTGCAGTGAGGAATGCCTAGAAAAGGTCTCTGAGGGCTCTGCTAACCCTCTGATTCTCTCTGACAGAGCTTGTCAGACTTCTGTGTACTTCAGAGTAAAGGCTGAGACAAACAGAGGCAAATGGAGAACTGGAATTTCTGTCTGAAAAAAGTCCCTGTTTGGGGATCTTCACAAGTGGCAGAGGTGGCAGATGGAGTCACCCTGGGCTCAACCCTTGTCTGAATGGGCTTAGCTGCAAAAGTGATTTGTAGTCTCGTGCTTGGGAGAACACTTTGCTCTTGGCAATGAAGCAGTTTCCTTATTGGCTCCCGTACATCCCCATTTCCTTCTGTATGGGGAAGAGGGATTGTGACTCTGATATATAAAAAAAATTATGGGTTTGCCTTGTCTTTTCCCAAATATAGCCAAGCGAGCTCTGCAGCAAGTAAGAGATATTTGTAGAAAGTGGCACTTTGCGGTCGGTGCTTTACATAATGCACTGGTCTAATCCATTTATGCCTATTTGACAGCTGACCTCTCTGGGAGGCCTCAGCACCAACCTCCAAAACCTGACCAAGCCTGACAAACAAATTTCTTGTGTCAGCAGAGGGTGCATCCTCACTAACCAGGCAAGGACTCTCCAGCTCGCTGGCAGACTCCTCATGCTCACCTGCTGGGAATCAAATTTTGAGGAGAGGATGATGTGAAAGCGCTGGTGAGTTGGAAACCTGTCTCTGAGATGCTTTGGGCGTGCACCGAGCAGCAGCACAGTACTCTGTTTTTGTTTTGGTAGAGTTCACGTATTTGCAGAGTGGGCCTGAGCACCGAAATGCTTATTTAATTTCCCAGGATTCTGTCATCGAGGCTGGTTGTGTTTGATACGATGGAGTGTTTTGTCAGGCTACTGCCTGTGCTGTCAGAGGCAGGCTATAAATACACACGTGCTTCTTGCATTTCCCTATCTCTCTTGCTCTGTAAGAGGAAATGGGCTTGTGATTAGCAGTCAGAGGAACTTGTGAAATGACACAGCTGTACTGTAAAAACGCCCCGGCCCACGGACTGTGCTGTCAGAGGAGCTTTAACTGTTGGAGAGCAGGATTGCCCGAGACATGGAGCGAGAACCGGCGCGCATAAGGGAAGGCTACTTGGTTAAGAAGGTAAGTGGGCAGTTTTGGACTGAGAGGAAGAGCAAACTAACTCTGAACAGGCTGGGGAGGTGCAGGGAAACGTGCTGTGAAAGCTTGGCAAAACAGGCAACAGCTGGAAACAGCCACAGCCTACCTGATTGCACAGCCTACCTAATCGACCTAATATCAAGGAAGAACAGCGAGATGAGAGAAATTGGATCACCTTGGCCTGGAGACAGTGTGTGGGGTCATGGTCACATCCCTTCTTTGGGAAGGCAGTTGCTGCCCCACTGTTCTGGAGCCTTTTGTGGCACAGCCCATAGGAGAAAGCCTTAACTTTTATTGAAATCCGCGGTGGCTTCCACTGGTAGAGCGTGTCAGAGTCCAGCCTCCAGGAAGTAATGGACTTGTCTGGTTATGAGCAGAAATATTGTAGCCTGTGGTAAACTCACAAACAAAAGGAACAATTCTTGTCTTATCATTTTAATCAATTCCTTAGCAGAAAATCAACCCAATGGGTAAATCTGGACTCTCAAAAAGGGTAAATTTGTATGGCTTATTAACAAAAAAAAAAAAAAGAATCAAAGAAAAACAGCACTCAACCCACATGTTTCACCCAGATGAGACTCTTTTTGTTGTTTCTCTCTTCGACTGAGTCTTGAGAGAACACCCATAAGAGTGACTTTTCTTTGTGGGGCATCTTCTGCTTCTCGTGAGGGCTGCAGAGGCTAGAATAAGGTCCAGGTCCTGCTTTTAATAAGATCTTGGCTGATGATTTTCCATCTCTACCCCATAATTGAATGTAAGGTCTGATTCAGAGTGAAAAAGGCTTTTCATGGAAGGTAGAGCAGCAAAAAAGGATGTGACAGGCAACGAGTTCATTTGGAGAATAAATCAAAAAAGACTTGGCATGTTTCTGTCCCATTCACTTCTGCAGAAACACAAGCTGCGGATGTAACTAGCTCTGCCCAGCTCTCAGTTTTAACAAATCACAACAAGCTCTTTGCACAGCACAGCAGTGGCTGCCTGGCTTCTACCTCCAGCTTTAGCACTGCTCAGACACCATGGTGTGAGGAGGACAGGGATGCTGTGAATGGAGATATGGCAGGGGGAGGATAAACTTGGGTCTCTCTTTGTAACAGAAGGAGCAAGGGGAGCTAATATTTTTGATGAATGGCCTCTGTTTTGGGGGCCACAAATGCTAGTTGTGCTTTGGTTAACTCTTCAGTTAACATGCTCATTTGGCTAAGTCACCTGGGTATCTGGGATTGTTACCACTGTTGAAGCTGGTCGCTGAAGGCAGGACCAGGGAGGCTGTGTAGCTGGAGTGCAAAAGTCTTAGTAATTCCAGCAGTTAATTGTGCTCAACACAGAGAAACAGGTTGTTTCTCTCAGTCTCTAAGAGTTTTGCTGTGTGTTTTGCTACATGTGCCCATTCCTCACCACTGCACTTGGAGGTCTGAAGCCTCAGGCCCTTAAACTATTCATTACTCTTACAGTTTTTTCTTATACTGCTAGAAATCCTCTGGAGCGTGTGATTTCTTATCAGACAGCCAAGCCTCAACGACTGATTGTATTGCAGCATCAAGTCCTAAATACATTAGAGGATGCTTGCAGTCCTAATGTGCCAGTCCACATTTAGAAATTTCAAGGGTTGTTTGTAGTATTGCCTCTACATCATCTTGAAGGCAGTGGCTGGGGCTGATTGATACTGGTGAGAAACACCCGCAATGCAATTTTGGAAAAACTCGTGTCTGGGGTGACTGCAAGGGGAAATTAGTGGGGGGTCAGAAGGATAATGAGGTTTATCTTCATTGTGGTTGTGGTATGTTTCCCTTGAGACACTGGCTATAGTTACTTTAGCATCAGTCAGACACTCCCTGGGAGGTCATATCTTCCTTGGATGTACCGTGTGAAGAGTGATTAGCTGAACATAACATGCACAGTGATTTATTGTTGCAGGGCAGCATGTTTAACACCTGGAAGCCGATGTGGGTTGTGCTCTTAGAAGACGGAATTGAATTCTACAAACGGAAGGCTGACAACAGTCCCAAAGGGATGATCCCACTAAAAGGGAGCTCTATAAGTAGCCCATGCCAAGATTTTGGCAGAAGAATGGTAAGTACTTTTTTTTGTGGCAAGGTTTAACAGTGTATTGATGCCCCTGGAGGCACTGAGGGGGCCAGACACCACTGAGGTGGTCACAGATTCCTTGCACTCATCCCAGTGGTGACTCTCACCTGTCTCAAAGTCACAAGCAGGCTTGGACTTTTGTAGTACTTGACTTGAGGACCCTTCAAGAGGACTAATTCAGAAAGTGTTGGGTGTTTTTTGTTACTTTTGATTATTTTTTTTTTTTTCAATCTCTGAGTCTGTCAGAGAGCAGAGCTAATTTTTTTTGGTGTGAGGACACTTGGCAGCTGAATGTCAACGAACTCCTGTATTAAATATAAATCAAAATGCCACAGAACAAACTTGTGGAAAACCATTTCACGAGCAGTGGAAGCATCTATTGTCAAAGAGCAACAACTGGCTTGCTCAGACAGGAAGGAGATAAATGCTGTGACACACATTTTGTTTTAGGCCTCCTGAAAAATAGTTGTCGGTAAAACAGGATTTCTAGTATGAGCAAAGAATCAGCTTTAGTCAGTAATTTGTTACTTTGTCAACTTGACTTCATCAAATAGGTATTACATCCCCAGGAATTCCTCTGGCAAAGGGCTCCTGCAGAATCTGGAAAATTATCCAATTACAGTTTAAAGCAATTTACCATAGGGATGCCTGACTAAAGATAGAAGTCTCTGAGAGCATTAGAAAAATAGGAAAAAAGTCTGAGAGACTGCAGTAAACAGCAAACTTCACTTCTCATTTAAGTTAAGAGAGGAGAATTAGACCTGTCCTTAGGTTTTGGGGTAAGTGGAGTCAGTCGTGTTAGATTTAAACCTGCTGGTTTTCCTTTAGCCCTCTTTTCTTCCTTCAACTTCTTTCCTTTTTTTTTTTTTCCTTTATGCAGAACTCATATTTATATGAAAAAACCCCACCTTGATTCTTACTGAGTCTTTAGACTCATCCATTGAGAGAAAGGGACTCTTATACTGAGGTAGTACAAGAAAAGGGTGGCACAGAGAATAAAGATTGCTGTTAATCCTGTGGTAATTATCTAATTAACAAGCCTCAGCACAGCACTCCTTCCTCACTACTATGTTCAAGACTACCACATATCCTACACTGTAATGGTAGAAATGGAGTTTTTCCTCACAAACCATTCCTTTCCAAACAGTTTTGTCTTGGGTTTTGGTTTTTTTTTGGTTTTTTGTTTTTTTTTTTCCTCAACTCCCAGAAAGGCACTGCCATCAGTATTGGTCTAAAATAATTGCTTGGCAATGTCAGTAACAGTAACACACTTAATAATAAAGGAAAAATAATTCACCAGCATATCCGAATACCTTAAAATAGGCAGAGAAGTCTGAAGTATCCAATGTCTGCTGAAGGCAAAGAGAGAGAGATCCTCACCTGCCCAAAGGGCTGGTTGAGGATGTACCAGTCTGCAGAAGATGCATTTCATCTGTAGGGAAAGCTGATAAAGTCTTTGAGGATCATTCCTTTGGCTGCAATGAGTTTTACATTGTGCTTCATTTGACATCATAAGTTTACCTAATGAGCTCTACCTTATGTTTAATTTTAGTTGCTGAGGTCTTTTCTGAGGGAGAATAAAGACAAAAGGAAGAATCTGAGACTTGGGGGTTGAGGAACCCAAAACACCTTTTCATAAGTAAGATCTGGTGAAGGATTTGCTGCAGTCAATGGAACAATCCAGACAACCTCAGCAGGCGTCAGAGCAGATCCTCCTTATGGAGTTGGTGATATTTTTCAGAAGTCCATAGACCAATACCCCTGGAGATGTATTTTCTTTTAGATCTGCACCATTCAAACAGTCAAAACTTCAACATGCTCATTCTTACAACCAAAGCCATTGCTGGGATTGTTCTTGAAAGTAGTTACTGCTCAACATGATTAAACCTAAATTTCTGCATGTATTTCTTGAAAACAAAGTATCTTAATCTTACATTTTGGAGCTTTACTGTACTACTGAATCCAGTGCCTCTGCATTCCATCCTGGCTTCTCATTGGTTATGTGGTCAAAGCATACAGTTATTCCTCATATGGGAATAATTCTGGTTCTTAGGTGGTTTCCATACGTTGATTTCACGTGGCTAAAAATGAAAGTGTATTTTTAGGACAGGAGTTCTGTAAGGCAAAAAGCTGGATAATTCTCATTAGGCCAGCTTTAAATCTAGTCTCACTTGGGCCCAGTTTGGAACATAGACTATTGGGCCATGAGCTGACTTCTATATTTCTCTGGTTAGATTTCAGTTTTATGAATCAGCTTGTGTACCTGCACCAGGGCCTCACTTGAAAGCTCAGAGCATGTCACCAACACACTTGGTTTAGTAAATCATCTGCAAAATGTAGGTGCTGAGGGGAAAAGCAGCAATGCTGGATTTGTTAAGCAGAGATTAAAGCCTGTTCAGAAGAGGCTGCAACTCCATATTTTGAGATTACATTTCAAAATGCATTCACCACTGTTGACTTTTCTTGATTTGATGTTTGATCATTGCTTAATGCAATGTTAATTCTGCTATACTTCAGCTTTTTCTGTTTTCCCCATGGCTTTTCTTTGGATAGAGTCTAATTTTCTCAAAAGTGCAAACAGATACATATCATCAGAGGGAGGCTTAGTCACTTCTAGGATAGGAGACTCAACCTCTTCACCAATTTCAGAGGAAGCCTGGAAGTCCAGCTTAGTGGCCTAGCTTTCTAGAAGCTGAAGTTAAGAGAAAGGGCTTTCCAAGTCTCCTCTGTGTACTGGAAATTAAAACTCTCCTTAAGCATTTCACTGTACATTATTTCTCAGCTCTCTGAGAAGGTTAATTTTTCTTCTGGTAAAAAAATGTCTTAATGCTTTCACATTTCATTCTAATTTTATGTTTCATGTTAATCTGGTGTGTTAGCATGACTTGGATACTGGGATTTAGAGAGATCTGTTCACTTTTCTCGTGAACATTGTTTTTCAGTATGTAGCTCTTTCCTGCATAATAGAAAAGATTGGTGTTGCTGGAAATCTGAGCAGTGACAGACAAAAAATGGTTACTCTTCTGTCTGAATTGGATTTTTGACTACCCACTGCTTTGTAAGTTTGAAATCTCTTCCATGAAAGTCAGTTGGACTTAGGCACAATGTCAGGGTGTCAGAATTTTTCCTGTTGGCCATGATCTGGAAGATGCATGTTAAGGATGTTCAGAAATGTACCATTTACAAATATGGGCCTCAGTAGGCACATTCAATGTGTTGGTTTTCTACCACAGCTACATAACAAATTAGTTTCACTTATGGGGAGCTATATTTTAGAAGTGGAAACCCTCTTGCCTGAGTAATTAGAAATTAGATCTAGATTTTTCCATCCAAAAGATCACTGGATGGAAATGAGTTCAAACAGTGTGAACCTTATGGTGTAGTTTTTTCATTTGTTTGGGGGTTTTTTTCAGGTTGGTGTTATTTTTTCTGTTTACGTCTACCTTTAAAAGATCTTTTATCCTTTTTGGGAAATACAGTCTTTTCATTGTTGCTGGTGTGTTTATAGGTAGTGATCCCAAGATCTAGCCAAGGGTTGGACGTATCATCTCTCTACTAAGCCCTTAAATTTTTTCTAGTCTGCAAATGTACTCAGCCACTCTCCAGTGTGACTGTGACCTTTTTTCTCCTTGTGAGTCAGTAGCTGAGCAACACAATGTGGGGTATTTTTCCTCCTTCAGACTGTTCACATGTCTCTAAACACTAAGACAAATTTACACCCATTGTAACCCTGCAAGGGGTTGGGTGCTTCAGCCTTTCAGCTGGGTTGAACTTCCCAGCTAAAGTTACCATCAGCAGCTGTATCAGTGCCACTCACCTTGGCTGTACTGGCAGTGTCAGGATCACTCCCATGGAAGCAACAGAAGGATTCAGTTACCTGCAGTGCTTTTTCATGATTTTCTTCAGAGTTTTTACAGTTTAACTGTGGCTCTAAAGCACTTCCCATGTTCCCATAGGTACAGGTAGGCTGTGTGTTGTGGGGCTACTTGGTTTATCATGACCAACTGGCTACACCAGAGTAACTTTGTTTAGAGAAACCATAATTTTTCATTTCAGTTTGTCTTCAAGCTCACTGCAGCCAAGCAGGACCACTTCTTTCAAGCTGCCTACCTGGAGGAGAGAGATGCCTGGGTGCGGGATATCAAGAAAGCAATTCACTGCATAGATGGAGGCCAAAGGTTTGCCAGAAAATCCACGAGAAAATCTATCAGACTGCCTGAAACAATCAACCTGAGGTTTGTTCTTGTAGCTCTACTCTGCTGTGTACTTCCCTCTTCAGGCAGCTGTCAGATTTGTGACTTTGGTCTGGAAGAGCCATGAGTGTGTCTGTCCATGATACCTCATAATTTCTGAAAGACTAAAAGTTTCAGTGTGTACAGTGTGGCAGAAATGACCCAGCAATCTGAACTGGGAAGCTCCTTTTTAAAATGTCATCATTTACCTGGGACATACTTACTTATCAAAGGATTTTGCTGATAAGGAGATTTCTGGGCACACTGCAGTGCAAGCAGAGACCCCCAGCCAAAATGTGATCCTTCCAGGAGAGGCATTTTTACACAATATATAATTTATTCCAAAAATATTTTAGACCCTTTGTTTGCTTTCCAGAGAAATGCTGATGTTAGCCTAGTTTTTGGTTGGTAAGGGAAGTGCAGTGCCTGCCAGAGAACATGGAACTGGCAAAGGGAGAAGACAAGATAAAGGGCATGCACAGGAAGCCATCTGTTAGTACTTCAAAAAGTGAAATACAGCTTATTTTCTGCCTCTGAGAAGTAAATACCAAGACACCAATAAACCTGCAGTGCTCCTTAAAAGACAGTAAAACTCCACAGGGCCGAGATCCAACAAAGTCTGGCTTCACAGGTTTCATCAGAGGATCAGGCCACAGAACTTAGCCAGTGACATTTAATGTTTATCCTTCACTGATGATACCTGTGGCCTCTGAGAGCATGAAGGCTTCGGGAATGTCACAGGGACAGGTTTTCTGCTCAGCTCGGGACCTCTGGGGGAACGCAGAGCAGAGCAGGGAACTCTCCTGCTTGCACTGAGGCTGTGGGGCCCTATGAACGTGCCTCAGCGGTGGGTGTTCCTCTCTTCACGGCACAGTCACCACAAGCCGTTGCATGCTCGAAGCAGGGGGATGTGGTGAGCCATTTGTGCTCTCCACCCTCTGCTCCCCCAGCTGTGACAGTGATGCAGCGATACCTCCAGGCTCTTCAGCTTGAATTTTTCGGGAGATGAGAATGAGCCACGCCACAGCTCTGCAGGGAGCCGTGTGCCAACCAAACATAAAGACCCCGTGAATGACAGTGACATTATTTTACAAACTGGCAAAACCCTTTTATTTGCTGACAGCTTCTGTGGTTCTTTTTACACACACAGTGCTTTGTACATCTCGATGAAAGACCCTGAAAAGGGCATAAAGGAGTTGAAGCTGGAAAAAGATAAAAGAGTGTACAATCATTGCTTTACAGGTAAGGAGCTCTTGTCCCTTTTTTCCATGCAATAAAGGGAGAACAGGGTTGAGAAGCTAAAGATAGATAAAACAGCTCTAAGCTCTGTAGAACACAGAAGCTGGGAAGAAAGTCTGGCAGATATTTTCTTGACCAACCCAGGAAGTGCTCAAAAGATGGATCTTGACAAAGTGTTCAGTTATGACCATGGTAAGCGACGGAATTTTACCAGTGTTAGCGAGATTGAAGTAAATCATTTGAGTAGATTGTTGTGTGAAACACTTAATTCCAGAAGAATTACTCCATTCTGAATTTTTCATCACCAAGCAGTGTCACACTGTAATTCCCGTTCTGCTCCAAGTCAAACCTGTGGGTGCTCAAAAAGCATGCACATGTAGCACTTGGGAACATTGTTTAGTGGTGGACATGGCAGTGCTGGGTTAATGGTTGGACTGATCATCTTAGAGGTCTTTCCCAACTTTAACAAGGCTGTACCTCACTGGATGACCCAGGAACCTTTCCAGAGTAGCTCCCTGTGTTGCTGCTAAGAACCTTTCTCAGGAGATTGATGCGTAGGCAGGCAGAGTAGGCTTGCTGCCTCCGTATTTTTAGACCTCTTCGTGTCTGTCTTGGTTTGTGACTGATGTTTTGTTCCTTTGTAACCAGGCACCTGTGTGATTGACTGGCTGGTGTCCAGCAGCTTCATCCGAAACCGCAAAGAAGGTCTCCTGCTTGCTTCTTCCCTCCTGAGTGAAGGCTACCTGCAGCCTGCCGGGGATACATCCAAGGCTGCTGCTGAGGGGCTCTCAGACACCCCCTTCTTAGATCTCAGTGATGCCTACTATTACTTTGTGAGCATTGTATTCTGTTTTTGTTTTGTTTTTTTTTTTTAATTGTCTCAGACTTTTCTCTGCTTTTCTCGGGCTTTCTGTTGAGCTTCTTAAATCCTGGAGGAAAGACTGCTCAGAAATGGAGAGATCCATGTTAATTGTGTTTCTCTCGTGATGCTCAAAATGAGCTGGCTCACTTTAATAGTTGTAACTAGGATTTTTTTTTTTTTTTTTTTTCTGGCACCTTTCTAAGTGTGAATTGAGTGCTGAGACCAAGCTGGGTTCTTTTTAACTTAGACTCTGTTCCTGGTAATTGCACTGGTGGCCAGAACTTAACCATTGGTTTCCCTCATGATTCAGTGGAAGGGAAGAGTAATTCATTATCATGGGGCTTCACAGAGTGACACAAGCTACAAACCCATTTTTGTGCAGAGCCATCAAATCTGACTCAGTGTGAGTGTGCACACACACACAGTTTGCCTATGAGCAAAGAATTAGAAGTTTTTAATAACCCCCAGTAGCACCTATTCTTGTTATCATATCCAGCCTTTTCCATTTATTGCTTCGTACTCTGGGGATTGATTTGAAGAACTTGCAATATCCCAGTCACAGTCAAATACTATTTTAAAGATGTTTGGCTTATGGACTTAATGCTAACAAAAAAGCATGCCTTCTGTCAAGTAAAACCAAGTAAATTGATGCTACAATTCTGTTTATATTTACCATATAGAATCACTCGGCCTCAGCAAAATGACTCTTCCTTTACTTCAATTGTTTTCCTAGAATATGTCTGTGGTAGGGAGACTTTTTCCTGTGCAGCAATGGAAGCAGAGACACTGCTGGTGAAGGCAGCCTTGTGGCCATCACAGTTTTTGGCCTCCTGGAACATTTTTTCTGGCAGTCCATGTGTGCTCTGCTTGCTTTTAGGTTGTTTCTAGTTCAATTCAATACCAGGACGGTGTGAGGAGGTCCCAGCAGGTCAATGTCTGAGCTGGTATCATAGAAGTGTACTCCTACCTCACACCAAAAGGGTGCCATGGTGACTTGGAGAGCCCCTCAACTTCACTGGGAGGTTTTTCCAGTAAAAGGGTTGATTTTTTTGTTTTTTAAACTTTTTAGTTTTTTGGGTTTTTTTAAGTGGCAAAAGACAGGGTGGAGGGAAGCCAAAGAGAAGCCATACTGGTACATGTTCATAAGAATGCAGCAGCTGTGTAACTTCTGAATTTTCTCTTGTGGCTTTGCAGCCAGACAGTGGGTTTTTCTGTGAGGGATATTCCAGTGATGACGATGTGGTCCTGAAAGAGGAATTCAGAGGCACAATTGTCAAACAAGGATGTTTGCTGAAACAGGTCAGTATTGCCTGTGTTCCATCCTGTCACTAGGATGAAGCTATGTGGGTACAAGATTACTCTTTTACACTTAGAAGCTTTAAGAACTACTCTATGTCATCCCCACACTTGACAAGTTTCATCTCTGTCCCTCCTGCCTTTGCACGAAGAACACTTGCATGGCAGCAGCAGCCTTGCCCAGCATTGCAAGGTTTATTGCACGAAATAAAACAGTTGACAGTTTTAATTAGGAAAGAGTTTTAATGCAGGAGAAGTGATAATTCATTGGTACAGTGGGTAAAAAGGCTGCCACTCCTGTGCCCCTCTGGACACACAGCTGGATTCAGATGCCAGTTTTCACAGGCTTTTTCAGCATTCCTGAGCAAAGGAGTCCTTTCCATGACTTACATTTGATGTGTAAGACAGAAGATAACTGTACACCTTCCTTTCCAGTAAAACATTAAGCAATCAGTGAATGTCATGGGAAGTGTCTTACTTTCCAAGGCCATTGCAAGCAGATATTAGTGAACTGAAGGCAAAACCAGGATTCTTCAATGAATAGAATGGTTCATGTGGAAGTGACTCTACAACAATCATCTGCTCCAACTGCCTGACCACTTCAGGACTGACCTGACTTATTGCACTCTTTGAGGGTGTTGAACCACCCTCTCTCTAAAAAAAAATCTCCTGATATTGAATCTGAACCTTCACTGTTAAAATAGTTCTTGAGGGCTTATGGACCTTTTGGTGCTGCTCATATGTATTTCTCTTGCTCAATCAGATTACTCAAAAAGCAATGGAAGAAATTAGACCCGCACTTGCTGTTCTTTTACCCTGTCACATTCACATCTTTCTAGTTAGCAAGAGCTTCCTAGGTAATGGAGAAACTGGTATTTTGAAATGCCAAGAGGAAGTGATTCATGGCAACCTTCCACCGGTGTGAGTCTGCATTTGGTCACCCTCAATGGGTTGTGGGTCACTGCTTCTGCTGAGAATGGTTTCAGCAGATCTAGACTTTCCACACCCATCCTTTCAGTCTTAAAAACAGGCAATGAGGCACCACGTCCACAGTAGACAGTGGTGTTATTTCTGCTTGATTGAGCTTCTCAGCCATGAGCCCTCCAGGGTGCTTAAGCCAGATAAGCATGTTTTTGTTGTTATCTTTGCAGGGAGAGAAGGACTTTCAGCTCATTCTTGCCAATAGTTCGAGGTACCTTCCTGCAAGGCCCTTTGCAGCTGTGTTTTCTGGCAGGCATTTAAACCCAGTTCTCACAGACCTCATGTGAATGTTATAACTACCAGATTGTATCATGTGTTTAGGGGAATCTCCCATGTTGAAGCTCTTCTGCTTTGTCCAAAAAAAAAAAAAAAAAAAAAGGACAACAGTGTGATAGTCCAGCTGTTGTGCAAAACATTGGAACGTAGAAAAGCCAGGTTCAAGTCTTAGTCCAGTGAGTCTTTCCTGTCCAAAATATTCAGCTTTTTCTCTTTTGTATTTGCATGTTCTCTCATGTCTGGGTAAGCTCTGTATGCAGGCAGTGCAGTTAATGACATTCCTATTTTGGAATTTTCCTAGGGACATCGGAGGAAGAACTGGAAAGTGAGAAAGTTTGTTTTAAGAGATGATCCTGCATATCTTCACTACTATGATCCTGCTGGAGTAAGAGATATTTGGTTTATCTCCCTGTTTGTTTTAAAGCCAGTGCCTTGTAGAAATATCCAAATGGAGTATCTATGTGGGAATGTGTGACAGAGAAGACCAGGGAGGACAGTGGGATTTGTCTGTGCTCATATGGGCTTGCCATCCTCTGAAAAAGCAGAGTGAAGGATGGTTTCTGGGCTTCCAAGTCAGTGCAGCAAGTGCCACCCAGACCTGGGGACAAGTAATACTGAACTGTACTCTCACCTCTTATCTGTAATTAATTAGAATTAATGTGTGCTCTCACTTGATCAAAACAAACTCAGTGCAAATGACCTCAGTACAATAATCATGCAGTTTATATTTGAGCAAATATTGAGCAAATATGCTGTGTCAGGCTGAGACAGGGCATTCCATTCCTTGAGTAATTCTAACATGCCAAACCCTGCCCTAAGGAAGAAGCAGTGCCATGGGCAAAGAGTGCCCCTCAAAAACTGTCATTTGAGTTGATTCAGCCCACAAGTTTTATCTCATCCTGCACTGCTGCAGCAACAGTGCTACTGGGGGTTACAGATGCTTTATGCTGTGCTGTCCTCCTTGGTAAAGGCAGCCTAGACACACTGGAGAATCAACAGTGAGGAGTGTCTGACTTTCCTGTTCCCATGCTAAGTACTCTGCAGATCCTGAATTCTAAATCCCCCAAATTATTCCCTACTTATTTGCAAGTCCTCCCCCTACCACACACTTCACCCTCTGTGTCACACACAGACTGAGAACCTGTTGGTTCTCACGGGCAACATACTAATTAAAATGGTTTTGTTTCTGTTCTGGAACTGTAACCAGATATGAACATATGAACAGTTTCAGAAGTGTTGTATTTCATTTTGATTTCATGTCCTCCCCAGGGAGAAGAACCACTGGGAGCAATTCACTTGAGAGGCTGTGTGGTGACAGCAGTGGAAGATATGCCAGACAGTAAGGAACCACAGCAAATGAGCTGTGTAATAAGTTTTTGGTGCATTCTTTTGATCTGCCTGAAAGCACAAGTGTTTTTTATTCAAAAGCAATATATGCACAACGATTTGGTAATTCTAATGAGTGGTGTCTCTCTTCTGTCTGAATTACTGGGGTAGGATACTGTGGTAGAGGCAGCAACAGAGAATTTTGTGTTTTGTCAGTTCTTTGGGGAAGGCTGGTCAAAAGGAAGACTCCATTCCTGTGTTAGGATAAGTGGCTTTTAGACAAAGTAAGCTGAGCTTGATCGTGGGAGGGGAATGTGACTTGTCTGCAGGATTGCAGATCCTTCCATGATTTGAGAACAACTAACCAGAGACTCCTGAATTTCAAATGTGCAGGATTCATGTGTGGTTTCTCTGAGAGAGAGAGAGACCTATTTCTTGGGCCCAGTCTTGCAGTCTTGGACCCAATCTTGGTGAAGGCCTGGTCAGGCTCACTGCAGAAAGGAAGGAGATCCCCTCACAGTGTGTAAAGGAGGAAACATTGTAAGTACAAGACTTGATTCTCTCAGAGCTGACTTCTTTATTTCTTCCTTGTAGCCAAGAAGTATGATGTTGACAACATCCTCTTTGAAATCATCACAGCAAATGAAATCCACTATTACTTGCAAGCAGCCTCATCCACAGAGCGTTCAGAGTGGATCAAAGCAATCCAGACAGTTGCTAGGACCGGAAAATGAAGATGATCTGCCAGTGAGAACACAGACAACTGAAATTAGTTACTCAAAAGAGAACAGGAACTTTAGCATTTCACTGAGAGAAAGCAATGTCATCGAGAGAGGTGTTCTAAGGCTTGTGGGTTGGGGGTGAGGACAGGTAGGAATTTCCAATTCTTTAGTGGGCACTAACAAACTAACATTTTTCCACTTGTGTTATGGTAATATTTTACTAAATCATAAAAAAGAACATGCCTTATTAGTGTGTGCTGCTTAATCAGTCTACCTTGAGAAAGGTTGTACTTCATATCTTTCCCTGCTGCCACAGCTGAGAGTGAGAATTTCACCAATGACAGGGGACAGAGTCATGCCACTGCCTCTCAGGAGCTCAATTAGTCATCCTCCATTCAGCCTGTATTGCGTTTCAGGATTTTCATGTATTTCAAATTCTTCCCCAGACAAGCTTTACACTTTCTTCCTTACCAGATCTTTTTACTGCTTATTCACCTACACAAGTAATGCCATAGATTTAATGAAAGAAATCAACTCACTTGGACACCTGATCCACTCCTTTATAATATGTCATTGTTGAGGGAGGGAAGAATACAGACAACTATGGAATCACCAGGAGGAAAGCAAATACGACCCAATGACAGCACTATGAGGAAAAGTCTCTTCCCACAATATTCCAAACACGAAGCAATTTCACTCCAACTTCATCACCCAACTTTGACCTTTGTTAAATTTCTCCACAAGAATCTGCAGTAGCACCATTATTTCCCATTGTTTAGGTCTCCAAAGCAGGTTGCTAAGGTGTCATGTACTGTACTAGACTTGAATTAAGAATCTTCCAGGAAAAGGGAAACGATCCATGGACTGGTTACTTGAACTACTGATTGAAGTGGGTTTGACCAGCTTTTTATTTTTTGAACCTTCAGCAACATACTCAGTCCTTGATTCTGTGCCTTAAGAGGAACCTTGTGCTTGCTGTAACTGAAATAAATGTTATTATTTAATAGGATCAGTTTACCTGATCTGTCTTGTATTCTTGTCTGACTGTATATCAAAGAAAGTTCTAAATCTTAACCTCTAAGCAGTTGAAAGTCAACATCAATTTTGCATGTAGACTGTTCCAAGTGCAACTTCAAAACTTCTAAACCTCCGTTTGTAGACCTAATAAGGTACCTTATCCGTAAAAATTCTTATTTGGATCTCTGCAGTCTAATAATAAACCTGGAGCTAAAGTTTCTCTTCAATTCTGCTTTAATCATACCTGTAGCTGAGCTAATGAGCCTGAAGCTCTGTTGCCTTGTGTTATTTATCCCAAAGAAAACACAGCCTTGCAGAGACAGCAGGCTGGGAGACAGTGGATCATCATGTCCATCGAAGACAGCCAGTGGAAATCAACTTCTGGCAGGGATTTCCTGTCGCTTATGCAAGTTGACAGGGTTGCTGAAGCCTGGTGTGTCCTTCTGAGGAAGGAAGACTCATGGTAAAAAGATACACTGTTTGCCCAGCCTGCTTTCTTGATAATTGCTGCTTGTCACTGCCTATTTCTGCTTTCAGAGCTCACTAACCTAAAAATACCCACGGGCACAGGAAAATAGAAAAAAAAAACCACCCCTCACAAGGAAACAACAGAAACTTGTCTTGCTTACCAAAGGGAGGATGTGACTGCCACTTTTTAATAAAAATAAAATGTTTTACTGGTCTATGGCCTTGTCCTTTTTCCTTGTGCCCTGCCCACCTGTGAACGGTGTTTTCTCAGGCAGAGGATGCTCATGAGCGTATTTATGGAAGAGCGCTGATGTTTGTACCAGACTATGTCGATAGGGTCTCTAATCTCACAGGCAGTGTTTCTGAACAAAGGCTTGCAGGTGCCTCTGCTTCTTGGCAGCAGGGGGAAGATCCCTGTCCAAGGGAATTCAGTATTAAAAAGCACCTACAAGTCTGTCAGAGGTGATGAGCCCAGCCTAGTTACTTGGAAGGCGTGGAAGGGAAGAGGCACGGATCCTGAATACCAGCACAAGAGATGAGAGAGCAGGCCTAGTGCGAGGAACTACTGATCAAAAGGAGAAAAACAGAAGAGCAGACCTATATGTGTCATGCTTCCTCTAACTTTCACCCCCTAACTATTTAAATCGCACTTTTACTACGCCCTCAGAAATTACTGCAGCAACATCAGTTTCATTTTTACTTACCATATGAATTAAGCCTTCTTTTCATAGAGAATAGCAAAATAAACCATTGTGGATAAGGACTATATTTATAATCTTCACTTACTGAAAGACTTGTATGATATAATCCTCTATAAATATCCTCTTAAGTTCATGTTTGACTTGTCACATCCTGCACGGAGCAGCTTTCCCTCTCCTGGCATACCAGCTATGTGCTTACTGCAGTTAGGGCCAGGTTTTTGGGAACCTTTATCAACCACACACCCATAAAAACACCCACGTAGACACAGCATTCCTACTTCCATGGTTTAAAAGAAAACAGGACGAAGCAAACCACACACACATGCACTGAAAAAATAACAACCATGGGGACTGCAGCAGCCCATCAAGCTTTCAGCCACAGGTGTTACTGCTTCTTATAATCCAGCAAACAATACATATGGAGGTAGTTCTGCCTTAATACGTCTCTGGCAGAGGTTTTCAAGAGCTGTGTACTTTCCCTGCCCTGCAGCTTTCTTCTGAATAGTAAGGCCAGTGTTATTTTGCTGCTAAATGTAGTTATTTTGGTGCTGTTCTTTGCAGTGTGGTGTCTTTGCTTTCCGTTTGAAAGAATAGTTAACAGTGTTAAAGGTCTACTAAAAATATATTTCAGTAATAGAACAATTTCTTGAGTAATATTTAATCAAAGTGTGTTCGTAAAGAGGAAACAACTAGTTAGGGCCTCTGAGGTATGACCTAACGTTTACTGTAAAACTTGTCTTTTGTTTTCATTTCTTCTTGCAATATTGCAGATAACTATTCAGTGCAGCAGTACTGCTTTTGTCTTTGTCTTAGAGATCACATTATTACAAATGTTAAACGCTAATTATTTCTCTTTTTTTCCCATAATTTGTTCTCAAATACTTGACAAGTTATTTTAAGTTTAAACAACTTGCTCCACAGGGCTCTTAATAAGTACTTTATGTTTTTTGCTATGTGCCTCTATTTGTTCTGAATTCAGGCTTGGGCAGCATTAAAATTCCAGAAATATTTCCTTAAATAACCTTTTTGGTGGGGGTCAGAAATATTTTAGTAGGGTGGGAGATTTTTGGGAAGGGCAGTGGGGTGAGGGTGGTTTTTTTTTTTGTTGTTGTTGTTCTTTTTCAGCTTGTACCTTTTAAAAATGTAGGAAACTACAGGAGGAACTTTAAAAAGCAAAATTAGTAGATAACAGTCTTCTGCAGGTTGTTGGTATTTCTGTGGGTGCCTTCTGTTTGGGTTTTGGAAAGTGCACGTATTTTCGCTTGTGAATTGTGGTTCAATTCTCATTGATGTATAGAGATTTTTCTGTGCTTACTGTGTACTCTGACTGAAAACAAGGTTCTTCTTTTGTTGTTACTCATGGGACTTCTTGAAATAGCACTTCTCATTTGGCTTCAAAATAAGGTTGGGGTTTTTTTCTGGATTAGAACACAGACTTCCTGCTTTGTGTTTTAGAACCAAAACTGTGGCTTTCCACGCTTTGTTTCTGGCTCTTCTAGATTGGTGAAAGGGAGAGGAAGACTGTATGAAAGCTGAGAAAAATGCTGGTTTTTTATTTCATTGGACTTCCACACTAAATATAATGGGCTACAGTAAAACTCTTCACTCCCCTGCTTAGACTCTGCCTTTCTTTTAAGATGGCAATACCTTTCTCTCTGTTTCATCCACTTGCTCAAGATGGCTGAGCAGGAAGGAGGAAAAAAATCAAAGGGATATGCTGATGAAACTGATGGAATTTTGCTTCCAGCAGTTGAAAGAGAGAGAGATTATGTTAGTGTTTTTTAAAATTCGCATACAGTGTGTCTTTCACTAAAACCTTCAATATTGATAAACCAGAGTGATCAAGGGAGAGGAGAAGGAACTGGGGATTGACGAGTTTAAGTGAAAAACCCCAAACAACTAGACACACTGATCTTCCTATGTCCTCAGACTCAGCTGTAAAAAGGACATTGAGAACTTTTATAGTGTTGCCATTAGCCCCTTTCTCTTTATCAAATACACTAGAACAACCTATTGCAGACTAAAAGAGTATCAATTATATAAATCAATGTATTATCAGTCTTTTCATGTACCTTCTTCCACGTAAGAAGGAAAAGCATGAAAATCCTTCCTTAAGCACCAAAGCATATCAAAAGAAAACCAAGAAACCACTGTTGTCCCTTACTGCTTCTGCTGTACCTGTATGTAGGTGTCCTGCTTTTGAAGGCTTAAGTTGCTGTGTTTCCCAAGTACGTGATGGTTGAAGTACAGTAACAAAATCAACATTGTGAGATATTTTTGAATAACAGGAAGCGTTGTTTATATCAGACTTCTAACACTGTTATGCAGTTTTCTGATTCATAAAAGGAACTATTTCGTAATTTTGATGTATAAGTTGTAAAATAAGTTTGGTTTGTGGTTTTGGGTTTTTTGGTTTTTTTAATTAATATTTTTGCTTAAAGGAAGGCTTTCTTTCCCAAGTTACACCTTCAATTTCCCCTTTCTCCTCCTTCCCCACACTGGATTTTCTTTCTTAAAACTATTCCGACCTAAACATCCTAAAAGAGAGCTTGTGTCTCTGCTTATTAGGCATCATAAAGCAGATCTCAGATAAGTAAACATAAATGCCTAGTGACATTTTAGAATTGCTACAACATACTGTGTGATCTTTAGTCACTTCCTTAGAACAGCAAAAACCTCTTCTCATGTCCTCATACTTACATGTGTGGTTCCTTTATGTGTGTTGGGTGTCGTTATAATCTCCTTGTTTGGGCAGTCCCCAGTGTTGTTATCTCTAAGTACATATGTTGATGAGCTGCATGTTGGGATGACTTTAAAAAGCAGTATAATGTAGTGGTAAAATTGTCTACAGACCAGGATGTTCAAAAATAAAGGTGCATTAGAAAAGCTGATTTAATTTGGTCAGCCACGCTAAAGGAAACTCGAGGCATTTATATTATTGGCTATGCTGTCAAATAGTACATGTTGCACACGGTGAAATGCAGGTGTTAGGATCTCCTAGCTAAATTTGTTCAGTGCTCTTGTTCTCTAGCATTGTGATAGAAAAGTAATAGAAGCTATTGAAAATATTCCCTCAATTGAAGAGATGAGTAGACTTCTCATGGAGTATTGTTATATCTGACTTATCAGCCCTAAGCTACCGCTGCAAAAAATCATTTTGCCTTTTTCAACTTTTCTTTTCCCCCCCATAAGGATTAAAGTCTTAAGGTGGCCAGTCTGTTTGCTTGAAGGTTTCTCTCTGTTCCTGACTTGCTCAACCTATACCTTCAATTCAGTCTTCAAGCTGAATCCTCCCATAGGCAGCTGGCAGCATTTTAGGGTCTTTAGTTTTTCATTTCTGACACCACTGAAATGTTTAAAAGCAATGTTTAGTGCTATGGCTGATACATTATTTCATGGCCACTGGTGTCCTGTGGCACCTGGAGAAGCCTTTGTGTACAGCCTGAAGTGCCTGGTGTCTCAGCAACAAATCAGCCTGTGCAGCTACACTCTGTATTGGCACACAGCAGCTCCTCTGCCAGTGCATCAAAACGAGCATGTGCTGTTGCTCACAACGTTTTTTAAATGTGGGTCCAAAAAAGCTAATGTTGTACCTAATTTGCATGCTCTGGCAGGCTGGTTTTCATTCCTCTCTGGCTTTGTATAAATCCACAGTTGCTGGACATGGGTGGCAGTGCTGGACAGGGTGATTCTGAGGGGAGGCTGCAGCTCACTGTGCCCATACATAGAATTGTTCTCTTGGGTTTCATCCTGGTAGGTCCTGGGGATCTCTGAGTTTGCTGACCATCGCCTCTCTCTTTCTTCCCTCTCTACCCACAGTTGTAGCTTGGGTTTTTTGGTTTACCAGTACAGCAGAAGTAGGTCTCGTCCTTAGCGCTGAGGCCTGAACTTGCCCCCAAGCCCTAATTCTTAGTTTTGTGCTGGTCAGAAGCTGCTGCTGACTTGTGGTACGAAGTGCAGCGGGTGATTTCTTCTGTGGTTTTTGAGACAGACTTTTGTGAACGAGCGATACGGTGGGAAAACAACTGCAAATTGTCAGTGTGCTCCTGGGAATCTGATGTGCCTCAACCAAAGTTCATTTGGAGAGAAAATAAAAAAACCTCCCCCACCACTCAAATCTTCCCAGCTGTATGTTTTTCTTACCTTTCTGTCAGCCCTGGTGGGCTGAAGCAGCTGATCCCAATCCTGAGCCCAACTGTTCTGTCTTGGGTTGGGATAACTTTGCTACTTGGAACCTTCCAAAGATGACCAGGACAGGGATGTACCTATCTGCCTATTGGCACAAACACCTGGCAAAATTACCCTTGAAATTTGAGTGGTCTAATGAAGAAAAGTCTGTGTTGATTAAATATCTCGTGCTTGCTTTTTCATTTAGTTTTTAATGGCAGTGGCCCAAAGCCACATCCTGCACCATGATGAAATAAAGCCACACTGTCGGCTCCTTGTTTCAGAAAGAGAGCGCTGCAATATTGAGTAGCTGCAAGGAAGGCTGTAACACCACAGGTGGTTTTGGAGGTGCAGAAATAAAATACTGACCTTATGTTGAACTTCAGAGCTGGTCTTTTTGATGCCCAGCTGTGTGCAGCAGCTCAGGACATTCTGTGCAGCAGGGAAACCTATTTTCCCCACAGAAGCCTGGCTGGTTGTTCAAGCACATGTTGCACAGTTGGGGTGTGTGGGAAGAGAACATTTGCTATTTGTTCTGCACCACACAAGCCTCATGTGCTGTCTCCAAAGGGCTTGTCTGTCCTAGGAAAGCTGGGGAAGCAGGAAGGTCGGGTGGCTGATGGGAAGCCTGGGCAATGGATGCCTTGGGGACCTTCCTGCAGCTGACAGTGTCTGAGTGGGAAGGTAGAAATGGTGTGCCAATGCAGTGGGAAGGTCGGTGGGGGTTTGCTAAAGTAGAAATTTCCACTTCCTCAAAAACATGTGGGTAAGAGGTGGGCACTGGAGCGGAAAAAAGGTTTCACCAGCCACCGAGGTGTGAGGGCAGCTGGTGTGTGCCCTGGGGTGCAGGTGGGGTGAGGATGCTCTCTAGGGAAGGATACCCATGTGTGAGTGCTAATTTCAGTGCTAGTACCATCTTCCTATCGCTGGCATTTCAGTGACTGGTGTTGGCAGGCAGGAATGGAAAGAGCTGAGCCCAAACCAGCTGGTGTAGGGAGTGCCGCTGTCTGGAGCAATGGATGCTGCTGGGGTGTCTTTAAAGGGAAGAGGACACATCCATCCTGCAGAGGAGCAGAGAGGCTGAGTAGGTGGTGCAGGGGTAGAGAGGAGTAGAACAGGTAACCAGAATTGATGCAATAACATCTCCAGGGGGAATTAAAACCCTCACAGGAAAGAGTAAGAGCAGGGAGGGGAAGCAACCTTTGTTTTTATGAGAACTTGCACTTAAATACTTGCAGGATTTTTCTTCCAGTAATAGATTTTTCACGGTAATCTTACTGTTACCGTAGGTTTAAGATCCAGGTCTTGTCTAATTGCAAAGCCGAGTGTTTAATTCCTTGTGTTTAAAGAGGCAGAGACACCTGATCTGACAAGAGGCAGAGGTACAACAGACACTGGGGATTCTTATGCTCATATGAGAATGGGGAGAAGCTACAGCTAAGTGCAGTGAAATAACTGTGTTAGGATTGATGCCAGAATAATTATTCTATTTGAAAACTGCATCCTGAGCGGATATATATGAGAACTGAGAGCTGAGGAGCATCAAAGGAGCAGGAATAGGGGATAAATGTCTGGGAGTTAGAGACTGAAGGCAACGGAGGAGGCTGGGTCAGAAGGGTGAGGGACTAGATCCATTATTATGCACCTTCCCTATCTTGTGATTTAAGAAATTGGGTACTTTTGAGGTGGTGAAAATGTACTGCTAGTGCTGTTTTCTTTATTAATTCACATGCGCTTTTTTTGCTTCGAGCTCTCTTAAAGTTGGGGTGATAAATGCTGTGAGCAGGGAGCGAGGCAGCAGCTTTGGTGGAAAAACTGATGTGCCTGGGTGTGAATTTTGGTGTGTTTTTCTCTTTTTTAATTTGAGCTAACTAGATATAACCTTCGAGCAGAACAGCTAATAATAGAGGAAGCAGTGTTTGCATCACACCTACACTTAGCAATGGTTCTTTACTCTGAGCTACGCCTCAGTCATGTTTGGTGGCAGGGTGACAGTGAAAGCTTCAGTGAATTTTGGGTACTGCATCCATTTTGGCTAATGAAGTAACTGTCCCACAAGAACAGCATCAACTCTTTTGGGACTAAAAGGAGATCTTTAAAACCTAGTGCAATGGTGTCCTGCTCCTAGAACACTTATCTACACAGAAGAGATTGCAAAAGATGCATAAAACTCATTATCCAATAGTAGTATCATGTTATGCACTGCTGTTGATGAGAAAGCTCTCAGTTAAATATGTTACTCATGATTCAGAAAAGGTACCAGTGCTTATTGACTGAACACCTCTTCTAATGGGGAACATGCAGGAGGCTGAGGGATGTGGATCAGTTTTGAGGAAATCTGCGGAATGCTCTAAACTAGAAAAAGGATCAGGCAACGTTCTGTTCTTGGAAGCATTTTAGAGCTACCTGTTATGTTTCTTCCTTGGTCTGCAGATATGGGCACCTACAACAAACAGCCTGTGAGCCCAGACACCTGCAATAAGGGGGAGTAAACATACCAGATATTCCGCAAGGGTTAAATAACCAAGTTTCATAACCATGGTAGAAGTTTTCCTATAGAAAATTGGCGCCAGATTGGTGACTGAATTTTGCAGGAATACCTTGAGCCACAGAGACCTTCCCAGTATTTACCCGCAGTTACTTTAGCGCAAAGAAGGTAGGAAAAGGTGATATTCAATTTATTTGTAATAAATTGTATTTGTGGTCACTTTTATGTTAGATAACGTGACAGGTGCATCCTCTTTTACTAGCAGCAGTTTTTCAAGTTGGTGCCAGTTCAGAGATCCTTCTGAGGACTTTGTCCCTTGAGATGGACACTGGAAATGTTCAGCTGATACTAAGGTGGCCACCTTGTCATTTTCTTTTCTTTCCAGTGCCTGTATTTGTCCCTAACCCAGCCTTCCTTTGTGGGCTCTCATGTGCTGCTGGTATGATACACTTCAAGTCAAATATATCTTCCTTTTTTTTAAATAAAAGTCATCTCTTCCAAAAGAAAAAGTGCAAATTGAAAATATAATCAACATATTTTTGACAATACAGCAGAACATTAAATTTATAAATATAAATTACAACTGAATAGCCTAAATAGTCTTATTTAGAATTTTGCATAAAATTAATATGATAAAGTGCAAATAAAAAAAAAGACACCTGTAACTTCCAGAAACTTTCATCATCGGTTCAAAATCAGTTAAAAATCACTCAAAATCAGTTTGACAACGGCCAGTTTGTGTGTCATTGGCAAAAGGTTTTTGAGTTGCAAGAATCAGCACTGGTTTCTTATCTTTCAAGTTCTGCTTCCAAGATTTCTCCCCATGTATCGACGTCCATGGGATACATGCTTTTCTCTGGCAAGCTGTGTTGTGAAGGAATGTTGCTGTATTTTCCACTCAGCCATTCTTGCTTCACTTTGCTTTTCCAGTAGTTTCTCAATAATGTGATCTGGTGGAAAAACAAATTGCTCAGATCTTGGAAATGAAACAATTTAAGCCGCATTCAATACAACTAAGTTTTGCCTTGGAAGAGTAAGGCTAGAGAAAGGATTTGGAATGTGCCTTTGGATCTCTAGACACTAAGCCTAGGAAGGTGCAGTGCTGCTGAGAAGCAGACCTTGATCTGCTTCCAACTTTTCTGCTCAAAGTTGGGTGGAAAATCAATACCTGCCTCAATTCTTTGATGCTCAAGATGAAAAATGTAAACCAGGAACTCATCTTACTCTTTAAAAGAGACACCTTTCACTTTCTCTTCCTGTTTAGGTTATCTGTGACCTTTAACTCTGGAGGCTGGCTGGATTCTTTTCTTCTGTCAACATTTTATTGTAAGAAAATGCTGACTTGGTATGTTTGTTGCTTCTATTTTAAATCCCCTCCAGATAAAACAATCAGTGCAGGGATTGGTGAGCAAGAGTATCAAGATCTGTACACCAAAAGGGTAACCACTACCTCCCAGTGCAGCAACTCTACTGAAATGTCAGAGCCCAGAACTGTGGCTTCCTTGGTTTCTTTTGCTGCTGCTTCTTTCTCTTTTCACCCTTCCACTGCCCCCCTACTCTTAAACACACCAGCTCAGTTGAGGGTGAGGGAATCACCTGGCCCCGAGCAACCTGTGGAACCAGATCCCTTCCTTATCTTCCTCAGCTTCCAGGCTGGATTCTGGAGCTGAACCTGCCCCTAACTCCTCAGACCACCTGTAACTGGGACTGTGTTAGGGGAGATTTTTTCAAAACAGCCTTAAAAGCTCCTGCTTGTTTCCTTTTCTATACTCTAATTTATTTTTCTCCTGGATGCGTGTCGCTCAAGGTGCATTGGGGCACAGCTATCCAGGATAATTTTCCAGCAAGCCATTCCCAACCAGCACGCCTATTCCCACGAAATACAGCCAGAGAGCACACGTTGCCTAGCCAGGGTTATGTTATCTTCTCCCTCCCAGCCCTGTCTGCGTGGGCTTTGTCCCATGTTAGGGCTTTGCTGGGACGAAGGTCAGCGCAGGGTGAGGAATAACCGGGCTGTTACAGGTGTGGTCCTGGGCAAGAGAAAGGCCAGCCTGGGCAGCAAAAAGGCCATCCTGAGAAGGAAAAGGGATAGCCTGGCTTTCCGTTCTCAGCGCATTTTACCAGCTGCCCGGCTACCGAGCCGCGCTGCCCCCATAAACCCCGGGATGGGGCGAGACGCGGCGGTGTCATCTCCTTCCACATTCCCACCGCCCCCGCGGCGGGACTCACCTTCCAGGAGTAGCCGCTCCCGCGGTCGCAGTCGATCTCCCGCCGGCAGACGGCCCGCACGGCCAGGCAGTGGTGCCGCCACAGCCGCTCGTTGCCCTCGATGGCGCGGTGCCAGCCCTTGCACGCCGCGGACGCGCGGCACAGGCTCTCCACATCCAGGCCGCCGAAAATCCGGGAGCTCACCTCGGGAGGGAGGGCGGACACCAAGTCCCCCTGTCCTCCTCCTCCTCCTCTTCCTCCTGCTGCTCCCGCAGCGCCGTCGCGGCCGCCGGCGCTCTCCGCGTCCATCCCCGGGGCGGGGGGCGGTGTCACCGCGGCCGCTGTCGCGGTGCTCCGGGGCGCCCGTGGGCGGCAGCGCCCGGGGCTGGATGCCCGCTTGCCATGTCCCTGCCGTCCGCGTTGCGGAGGGTACGGGCTCGCCTGTTTTTTGGGCGAACCTCCGCCGCCCCGGGCCCGCCGAGGCGCTGCCCCCGCCGCGTCACGGGGAGGCCGCGCGTCATCAGGAGGCGGCGGTGGTGGCTCCTGCCGGGATCGGGATCGGCTCCATCCTCGTTCCCATCCCCGTCCCGGCCCCGCGGGCCCGAGGTAGCGGCACCCCCTCGCAGGGCGGGGGTGAGTCGTGTCCGCAGGGGTTTAGAGGGGCCTCACCGCTGCCCCGTGTCCGGGTTGGGGCGGGGGGAACTCGGCACCAGCGGAGGGCAGCGAGGATGCCCGGGGGAATGGGGCATCTCTCTTAGGAGGAAAGGATGAGGGAGCGGGGGCTGTTGAGCCTCGGGAATTGACGGCTGAGAGGGGACCTCATTGATGTGCATAAATATCTGGGAGGGGCGTGCTAAGAGGATGGAGCCAGGCTCTGCTCGATGGCGCAGAGCAGTAGTACAGGAGGCAGCGGGCAGAAACTGATGCGCAGGAAGTTACACCTGAAAGTGAGGAAATACTCACTGTGTGAGTTCTTTACTGTGTGAGTGGAACAGGTTGCCCAGAGAAGTTGTGGAGTTATTCCAGAACTACCTGGATGCAATCTTGTACCATATGCCCATCATCTGGGATGGCACTGCTTGAGCCGGGGCATTGGACCCACTGTGGTCCCTTCCAGCCTGATCCATTCGGTGATTGTGTAAGCCTCTAAAGAGCCAAAACCTCCCGAGCAGCACCTGGAGGAGCCTTTTTGGGCAGAGCCTGGCTTCTCTGCTCTTGGCCTTTCATGCTTCTCTTTGTGAGGCAATGAAGAGAGAGTTCAGCTGGTCATCATGAGCCTTCCCTGGAGTGCATAGAGCTTAGGAACAGGTGGCAGTGATTGGCTATGCAGGGAATACAGCAGCAATACAGCATTGTTTTCCCCTAATGTTTTGTGAATTGAGTAGTGGAAGGGCTAAATCTTGAAGGAAAAACAATTGCAGTTTGAGTGCAATTTCACAGCTTAAAAAGCATTTTGGATGTGGTGGCTCTGAACTGGCCTTTTGAAACCAGCACCTGAGTAGGTGGTGGCACCTGAGAGCTGCAGACTTGTAGCCTGTAGTGAGAACTTACCAGAAAGTACTGGATTGATTGGCACCTGACCCTGAAAACCATATCTTAAAATCATTGCCTGACATTTAGTATAGAAGCAGATTTTGGGGAGTTGTGTGGATTTACAGTAGAGCAAATTCTGAGCTGTAATTTCAGCTTTCTGAAAGTTTTGTGGTGGCAGTGACCAGTGTAAATTCTGTACTTAAAACCCAAAACACCACAGCAGTGGGGCCAGCAGTGATCAGAGAGTCTTTTGTTCAAAATACTTTAGGTGTGAGGTAAAAGAAAGGCGTGTTTATTTCCTCTGGAAGTTGGTGTAATAGAATGTTGATGTTCAGTTTCAAAGTGTATTTGTTAGTGACAAACATACAGACCAACTTTTGTGTTTGAGTCAAAAGTGCGTGTTTATATTTGTGATGTGTGAGTAGCTAAAATATATTTTGTTTTGTCAGAAAAAACTTGGGGGGCTGATGCAGAAGGAGCACCAACTGTTCATGCTGTTGAGATGTCCTGTATTCCACTGCTAATGGAACCAGCACATTCCAGCTCTGAGGTACAGGGAGCTGCAAAAATGAGAAATAATGATGCTGCCTCTAGACATGTGGTGGGTGCTGAATTTTTTAATGAAATTCATTATTTGCGTGTGTTGAAAATTACAAAGGTGTTGTGCTTTGTATACCTTTGTTTTTCCCAGAGAGGTAAATTACTGCTGTCAAAATTTGTTCGTTTATTGGCTGGGACTGTGTGCTGTGCAAGTACACAAATGTGTTACAGGAGTGTTTCGGACTCACAGTGCGGGAGCTGAGTGCTAAAGAACAAAGTCTAATTCTGGCCTCTGCTCCATGTCAGTAACTGCCCCTGAGTACCTGTGAAGGCCTGGGGGAATAAATGACTGTTCCAGCCAGCCCAAAAGCCTCTGAAAGAGGAGAAAAGAGAACCTGGAGTTGGACTGTGGGTGTCTTGTGCTGGCTATAAGTAACAGACATTTGTAATGTCCTGGCAGCCTGTTTCATTTGGATCGTCAGGTGGGATGAAGTTGTGTTGTCAAGATCCATACAAACACACGGAAAAACAACTGCCCAGATTTTCCCTGGCTCTCCAGTAAAATAGAGTTTTTGAAGTAAACATCTTTTGCCTTTTTTTTAAACACTTCTAAGTCCAGTGGCCTTCAGACAGTCTCATAAATAGTGTGGGGAGCTGGTGGGATTTTTCTTAAACACCTTCTGTTGTGTATCCAGTGCTAAAGTGACACGTTGGTCAGTATTGGGGTACAGGAGGTAACAACTGCACACAACAAATGAAATGTCAGCTTTTGCCATAGCTGAGATCCCTGGGGTGGACACTCACCTGTCAGTAAGTGGAGATTCACAATGATAATGCTGCTTTCTGTAAATAATGAATGAGATTTTTGTGAGGTTTTTTTGTTTGTATTGTTTGGGGTTTTTTGGACAAAGAGGCATTTGTTAAACCTGCTCTTTCTGTTATGTCTGTGTGTGGAAACTCTAGAGCTAGGTGCTGGTGAAGCTCTTCTATGAAACTTTCAATTTGTAGCCTTTTAGATGTTTATTCCAAAGGTCTGAGGAGAGAGTTTTTAACTCCTGCATGAAGGTTTCTATAGACTTTGTTTTTCTGAGTGAGTGGGAACTATAAAACAAAAAGTAAGTGGTCACCCAGGCTGCAACTGTGTACAAATTGTGATCTGTTTTCCTCCTGTCTTTTGTAATTGGATAAAGGTACTAAACAGTAGCTTTTAAATATTAAAGGTAAATATTGTTTCAGGTTCCTCTTTCTGACAATAACGAAAGCAAACAGTCAAAATCTGTTCAAAGAGAGAGAATACTTCCATCTTGGATGCTGGAAGGAGATCTCCTGGTGCAGAGGGTGTCTGAGCCTGTAATGACAGCAGGTAGGTTTGCAGTGTGGTACAATTGCATTCCAATATGCATTTGTGTGCTTGGATGTAATTTTTGATGAATGGTTGAAAGTGTTAATCTGTTACTTCTCTTTCCATCCTTCGTGCAGGGCAGCTGATGGAGAGTGACTTATGTTGTCTCCTTTGTCATCAGTCCTATGGGTGTGATAGACCTTTTTCTCATAATTTGATTTTCTGTTGTTTTGTTGTTTGTTTGTTTGTTTTTTTAATGCCAGATAATAAACCCCCTTTGGACATCTGAGCATCGGATATTCTGGAACCCTTTCCTATAAACTTGCCTATTTCATATGTAAATTGTGGGTAATTTCTGTACCTTTAATTCCAGTCCTTCTCCACACTTAAGTCAGTGATGTTTTGCCCTTCTACATTTAGATTCTAGTTTCACAGATTTTTTAAAGTAGGGGTTTTTTGGGTTGGTGCTGGGTGTTAGTTTTTTAACCGTGAATGAATCAAACTTGATCATTTAGCCCAAAGTTACTTGCTTGGAGGAGCAGTTGTTCAGAGTATAATACCAACATGAGGCTAAAATAACGTTGCATTCCTTCGTGTTTTTCCAGGAAAAGGAAATTACTGAACTGCTGCTGTTGCGTTCAGTCACTGTCAGCAGGACACACAAGGGCGCTGCATTGGCACAACCTCAAGAAAATTTTATAGCTTGTCCAACTTTGGTTCTGGGAGCTTCGTACTTAAGCTGCCATTAGATAGTCTTACTGCACAGCAGCATTTATTGCCCTGCTGACTTTAATTGGTGGAAGTGGAGGACTAAAGAAGAAGAGGAGGAAAATGACTTAGCAAAGCTCCTCTGGCATTTCTGTCCTTCTCTGTGCTGGAGGCAGCGTGCCCCACCCACCCTCCTTGCCCTTCTGTGGGGAGGTATGAGATGATTTGGGTGTGAACAGCTGAGTTTCCTTTGTTAATCAGTCCAAAGCTATGACCTGTGGCTGATGAGTGTGTTTTCCACTCCTCCATGTGCAGCAGCTCTGCTTTAGTGTCTCTCTTTCCCACTGCTGTTTCTACTGGGATGCTGTGATGGATTTGGTTCTTGATGCCCAAGCAGCCCAATGGGAGTGTTTCATGCAGTGTTTGACCAATGGTTTCTTCTCTCCTGTAGTAAATACAGATGTCTGTGTGCATTGACCTGGGCAACTGTGGCTTTAAAGATGTAAAAATTGCAAGTACTAGAGGACTTCAGCTGGTTGAGTCCTGTTCTGGTGTGATTGTTTTCTTATGTTTGTGGTTTTGTTTTGTATTTTTTGGGGAATGGAGTTTGCTTGTTTTTTTTTCTCTACAAGCACTAAAACATTTGTTATATGTGTGAATATAATGTTTGTTACAAAGGCTGAATGCTGTGATTGTGCTGGTATAGAGATTTGGAGCTGTGTGAGTGAGAGGTATCTGAAGGCCTTACCTAGAGGGAGCTGGGGTTACATGCAAACTCTCTTGGAGCTGTTAAAAAAGTTATTACATGAGGTGTTTCCAGCTTTGAATCTAATGCTTTAATAAAACAGCCAATCTCTTCTGCAAATCAAAAATATTTTCTTGAAACTGTGGTTTGCATCTTTTTAGGGTGCTATTGGATGGGAATGTGGAAACGTAGAGAGGAATTCCAAAAAGCTGCCCTTTTATGTCTATCTTCTGGCTAGAAAGGTGGCACTGATCTGTGGGTTTGAAATTAGATTTTAAAATTTGGGAAAGTTCCTTGCTTTATACACATCACCCTGGCACAGTTTTTTGAAGGAAGAGAGTTTTTGGAGTCTTTTAAAATCAAGTATCTTCCTTCTGAGTGTGTTTTGCAGCAGATGAAGCTATAGCAAAACCAGGAGGGTGGCCCTGGGTCTGTCCCAGCTGCTTCAGTGCAGAGATCTCAAGGTTTCCTGAGATGTGAACTTTTTCACAGAGACAGAACTTAATTTCACCGTCTTTTTCTGTGTTGGTTTTTGGCCGATGGAATGATCAGCCACGATGTGGTGGCCCAGGAAGATGGGCACACTCTGATTTTGCTGTGCCCTGATTAATGTCTGCCTGTGTAAACAGGTGGTCTGAAGGGACAGTTGCACCAAAGGTCTGTGGTAAGCCATCCTTACACCTCTGTGGTGTAAACTGAGTTGCTGTCACTCATAGAGATACATTCACTCCACAATATCCTTTGCCACGTATTTATTGTTTTCCTCCAAATTCCACCTCAAGTGTCTGTTTTGTTCTCAAACATACTTTTTACTCCTACAAGCAGTAAGTGTAAAATGTGTTGTTGAAACAGCACAAGCACAACTGCTGCTGTTTCTCGTGCCATTTGCCCTGTGTCCTGCTTTGATGTAGCTGTAGATTCCTAATGTCATCAGGATTTCACTGGAAAAGTTGCATTCCAAAAGTACCCATTTATTTATTTATTTATTTACTTATTTATTTAGGTCACAGAAAGAAAAAAGGCTACAGAAGGGGGGAAAGTGACATGGAGCCATTGAAATCAGAAGTAAATGTGCAACAGAAAAAAAGATCAGCATCTGGAGACACTATAGAGGATTTTGAAGGTGAAGAGCAAGATCAAGGGAAAAGAAGCTGCCTTTCCATCCCTATTCCTTCATCTCAGGTAACTTTTTTTTGGCTCAGGGAAGAACTGTGGTATTACAGAAAAAAGAGAGTGCAGTTGGCAGTGTCATGTTGAAGGTTGGGTCTACAACATCGTTGTGTGTTCTGCTCGTGGTTTGTTGTTTTGAAATACCAGTCCATTGGTCAACTGTGTAGCAAGGATCAAGACAACCTTCAGTGACTTGGTTTTCTGCATGTCCTCCTCAGAATCACACTCGAAATGTTCCACAGAAATACCAGACTTTGAGCTTTGCAGCAAGAGGCAGGAAGACAAGGGCCAAAGCTCAGGGCCTAGGAGTGGCTTGGTGTGTGTGGTTTCTTTTCTAGTAGGTGAAGTTTTATGGTCAGATAATGATGGTGTGTGGCTCAGCAGCTGCTGTGTTTCAGAGGAAGGGTAGCATGGAGTGTGCTTATGCCACTGTCTCAAAATCTTCGAGTCAAAAAAAGGAAAGGGGGGAAAAAAAAAAAAGTAGCCTGAAATCCCAAACCATTTGTGACAATGAGTCAACAGACCCTGCAGTCCAGCTGGTCACTGTCTGTGTGACCTCACAGCAGTTTACAGGCAGGAAAATCCTTACTGACAACACCTTACAAGTGAGAAAAAGAGAAGGATCATTGCCAAAGAAAAACAAAGCATGTGCTGGTGAGAGCAAATCAAGGCTCTCACTTGTATCCTCTAAGTGAACAACCTGGGAAGGTGTTTTTAATGTCTGGCATTAGAATTGCCTGGATCTGTTCCAGGATCTGATAAAACAACTTAAAGTAGTATTATTTGGTATGATTTTGACACTGAGAACTAATTGGGGGTTTGATTTTGGTTTTTTAATTGAATGTTAAAGTTAATTGAAATGAACTGCTCACAGAGAGCAAACCCTTCGGAGTAGTTTTGGTGTAACAGTGGTTAATCTGGAAAAATGTTCCAAGTGGTGAGCTTCGCTGTTCATTAGGGGCATTAATAACAGCTGCTGTGCTGTTTTCTCTTTGTCAGATTATAAGGTGAGTGACTAAATAATGAATTATTCTATTTTGCGATTTTTGAGTAGGAAGCCTTAGTTATTTTCACCTAATAATTTCATAAATCATTTCAGTCCCAAGTGCAGTATAAGAAATTGCCTTTGTGACTTTGCAGGAGAACTAATGGGTTAAGTGTAAGCGAAATTAATAATCACAGAGAGCTCTGAAAGACTGTAATTTTGACATCAAAGCCCAAATCACGGTCTTGATGTCACGTTTAAGGCGATTGAGAAAATATTCCCTAGGGAAGGAGGCAAAAATAATCCGAATTGTTGTAAGCGGCAGCGGCCGCCAGAGAGCGCCAAGGGCCCGTCCGTGTTATCCCAGTGCTGGAGTGCGGGTGGCTTTTTTTTTCCCTGGATCGCAGCCTGGTGTGTAGCTGATCCTAATGAGTGAGAGTGTTTAGTCTCATTAAGTACAATACAGGCAATGGATGGGTAGAGAGTCACAGGTGTGAGTCGCAAATTAGGGTAATTTGTGCCTCCCTTTGCAAAGGAAGGCTGATTTCATACGCTGCAGTTGTTTGCTGAATCTTATTTTGGGAGCTGTCTTGTCTCTGAGTTGAGTTACTAAATGTGCTGCTGTCAGGATCATCTGATATTAATGCTGACTTTGTCCTCTCTTAGTCACGTTGCTGCTCAAATGTAATTGTCTCTGGTTTTGGATAAAATTTTATGAGGCTTGCATTGAAAGGAACAAAATCAAACAGGAGATCACTGTCTGCTTTTCGAGCTCTGCCAAACACATCTGTGTAAACTAAGTATAAATTTACTGGAGGGGAAACTTGGATAATAACCTGTAGAGAGCAGAGACCTTGGAATAGTTCTGTGATGTATCAGAGTAGTTCAGCCTTCAGTGTAGATATGCTTCCAGGTAATGTCTCAGTTGTCAGGACAGTGCTCTTGTCTTGGTTATGTATCTTGTATTCTTTTCCTAAACGACACATCTCTCATTTTAAATGTACATTTGTTCCAAAATTTAAAATGCGGTATGTGTCAAAGCTGAACTCTTTGTCTGATGGTATCTATGACAGACTGTTTTACGATTTAGTCACTATCTGAAACATTTAAGATGTATCAGCATGGGTTTAAACTCAAAGTGTGTATCATGCATTCCCATATATCTTTCATATATAGATAAATATACCATATATCTTGGTACTCAACAGATTAAAATTGATTCTACTGTAGGAGTGTACATTCTTCTAGAGCCTACTGTATCTTCATCTATATATAATGCCCATTATTTTTTTTCAAGAGGAGTACTTTTGATTGGAAGTTAATTTAAATTAAAGTCCTTGTACTGTTCACAAACTGAGGTGGTGAGAGAGGAGCTCGTGTTGTGAGGGAACTGAGACCAAGAATGGGAGCTTTAGGATAAGTTTTCTTTAAAGTGTGTTGTGTGTTATTTTCTCAACTCCAGCCTTTCATTCAGCAGCTCTATTTAGCAGAGAACTTGAGCTTAGAAAGTGGATTAGAAGATTTTAAGGGCTGGACCAGATGATCTTTCGAGGTCCTTTCCTACCTGGGCTGTTCTGTGGTTCTCTGATTTTTGAAAGGGGGAATGACGAGGCACAGTGTGACTTTTAAAGCTTTGAATTCTGGACTGTAAACTTTCAGGTCCTTTAAAATGTAACCTTGTTCCACAGAATACATCTGGATTTCCTCTTGAGAATACCACAGGAGATATGGAAGAAGGAAATGGCAAGACTGGAACAAAAAACCCCCTGGAAAAAAATGATAGGCAGCTGCATAGCAAATGTTCTAAAAGAGCAGGTGAGACCTCAAGTAAAGACAATAGAATTGAGGAAACAAAAACCAAAGAGCAGAGTACTGGTTCTACAAGCCAACAAGCTCACTGGGGCAGGACTTCCCAATATTGTGGTGCCCAGGAAGGGATTCTTGAGCCTGATGCAGATATGGATTGCGGGACTGAGATTTCTGATTCAACCAGAAGTGCAGATGCTTCAGAAAGCTTCAAAAAGATCCAGCATAAGAGGACACCTTGCATGTATGGAAGTGCCTGTTACAGGTAAAGCAAAATTAAAACTAGCTTGGGCTAGCTTGCTATTTAGAAGTAATGTATTAGCTATGGAAGAGAAGACTGTAAAGTCATTAAAACTATTATTTTAAAAAAAGATCTTTTGGTGAACAGGGGACTGATGAGAAACAAAGGGCAGAACAATAATTTTAGAAGGGTAAAAGGAGGAGCCAAGATGTCTTACTAACTGCTAATGTAGCCCAAACAAGGGATGAAGTACTTCAGCAAATTAAAAGATGAAGTGTGGTAGGAAGTAAGAGACAAAGGTCCATTTTAAAAAGAAATAAAAGATGTGTGTGTACAGTACCAGGAACCAGCAGGGAGAAGAGATGTAAAAGGTTGAAATGCCCAACATAGACCCTGTAGGCTTATTTTATTACCAGATGAGACTTATATGAAAGATAATTGTATTTACTGAAGTTTTATTATTTTTTTATTCATTGTCTACTTTGTGATGCATTTAAAATACTTATTATTTGTCACCCCTAAATAATCAAGAATTTCTTTTATTATAACTTTGCCTTTCTGTGCTTTTATTTAAGCTTTCATTTCCCCCTAAAACCAGAAGAAGGCGTACTTGGGAACTCCAGGTTAACCCTTCTCTGGTCAATGTCTTTGGAAACACTGCAACAATTGGGTTTTTTTTCCTCTTTTCCTCTTTTTTCTCCCCCAGTCTTATCCTCTTAATTCACAGCGGAGGATTTTCATACAAATGTTCCAGCCTGGCCTCCTGATAGTTATTTCTACCCAGAAAAGATGTGTGGTGTTCTGTGTTGTTACACTAAAGGGAAGATGTAAATCTAGAGGTGCTCTTGAGACTAGAAAATGCCCGGTGACCTGAGAACTACATTTAGGAGAAGGTTTTGAGCTCTAGATAAACTCATGTGCATTGTAAACACACAAGATGAGGCTAATCCAGGAAACAGGGAGTCCTGTGACTTTTTTCCCTTTCCCCAAAGGGACTTCAGCAATAAGAAAAACTGTGAGTTTGAGTAGAAAACAACTAAACACAAGTGACTCTGTGTTTGGTGGGCCTAATGCTGAGATAACTCTGTATATCAAAACCATGACGCTGTTGTGTTCATGAGATCATCATGCTTCAGTTTTCATGTATCTCGTTTTTTCCCTTAGTGATTATGAGGAAAACATTTTATTAGACAATTCAGTTGGCCCAGGACTACAAACGCAGCCTCTGTTTTGCTCCAACTACTTGTAATTTTGCTCAGACAAGTTTTCCCCTGTATGGGTATTAAGATGACTTAATGCTCTGACATGCTGAAATATTCCTAATCTTTAGGAAGGCAAATCTTAGGAACAGGTAATAGGGAGTAGGAGTCTACATGTGCTCAGTTCTTTTTGGTTTCTTCTCTTGATTGCAAAACATTCGGCAGCAATACTTTTGGAAAGGGTTGCTTTATAAGAAAAAAGAATGTTCTGAAATAACACATATTAATCCTACTTAGTCAAAGGAATTTGCAAATAGTATCAAAAATATCAGCTTTGATCTGCAGGAAATGTCATGAGACTGAACCTGCCTGTTTGCAGCAATAGAAATGTGCTTTGTAGTCTGTATTTGCTTTTAATTCAAGGCCCCCAAGTAGCTTTTTCTGCATTGGTGCAGAGCTGTGTTAGAGCAGTTTATGTATTATTAAACCTATTAATTGGATTAGACATCTCTTACACCTGTCTTAAACATTTAGGAAATGACTTTGTAACCCGTACTTCGGTTTCTTCATTTATGAATTTGAAATCACTGATTTTGAAAGAACCAAGCTTGATGGAACCTCTCACCCAGGGAATCTTCTTGTCACCTTCCTGCAGTGTCATGTTCTCTTTCTGAGGTGGCCTGAAGCTTTACCAAATTGGAAAGGAACTGCTGTTACCACTGGGAGACAAAGTGCTCTGTATGTGTTGTAGCTGCCTGTATTTGTTGTCAAGGAACTCGCCCTCTGAATATTGTTGTGTACTCTTTTTCTTGTCTGTTGCTTGTGTTTCTGAAGTTAGAAGAATAGGAAATCAAAAATAAAAGTAAATCCATCACCACTCTCCTTTTCAAAGGCTGCATGGAAGGGGTACAGGAGAGCTGAACTTTGTTCTCTACATTGGAACTCACAAATTTTGTCCACAATTCAATCTTTTTGCCATAACCTGTGATACAGTTCTCTGCTGAATGGTGGTGTGTAAATCTCTCTTGTTTACCTGTCAAAGCAGGAGATGCTCAACCAACCTTTGGATTTGTATGTTCTTCTAAATACTTTACTGTTTGTTTATTTGTTTATAAAAGTATTTGTCCTTTCACCTTAGTCTTGTAAGTCTGGAAACTAAAGACCTGCATCTGTTTTGGTTGTTTTTTGTTTGTTTGTTTGTTTGGGGTTTTTGTTTGTTTTGGGGGGCGTTGTGGTTTTTTTCCTTTTTTTTTTTTTTTTTGAGTCTTGTCTTCTAATAAGACTTAAAATTTTGAAATTAAAAATATCTCGTGTAGTTGTGGCATAGCAGCAGGCTTGAATTCTACAACTTTATAAGTAATTATTACATTTTCACTACCAGTTTTTTTCAGTAGCTGAGAAAATAAGCCCTTGAGATGACCATGATTCTGCACGGGATTGTGAGGAGTCAGGGATTCTGGAGTGGTCAGTTAAAATTGCTTTAGGAAAAGCTTTCAAAGTTGCTTTGGGTGGCTGCATAGATGAATAGGTGTCTTAAATATTCCACTGAGCAATGCTTCCCAACTTCTGCTTGAGTTGACTGCGTTGATGCTGAAGAACTTTTTATTTGCGTACTTTTTGTTTGCTTAGTTTCCTGCATCATGAAGTGTGAGGATACAAATTCAGAGCTTGTGTAAAAGCAAAGGTGCAGCAACTGTATCAGTATGTTTATATGAAGGCAATAGTCATAAAACCTTATTCTTAAAATGAGTCTTTAATTGGTTGCTTTTTGTGCAACTAAGGCATAATGGTTTTGATTTGATCAAATGAATAACAAATCCCTGTGTAGTGAGGCTTTGTTAGGAAACTGAACTTTGGAGTGCAGCTTACAGTGTGATAATGTGCTCTTGTAACTCAAATATCTCATGTCTAAAAATAAATGATAAAAAAAACCTCAAACAAAACTTTTCAGGAAGAAGCCTTAGGGTTTTTTTTTTCACAAGAAGGGAAAATATTTGCTTAATATTACCTATGCATCTTCTGCTTCCATTTTTTTTTGCTGGGTATTGTTGCGCTGCACACACAAGTAGAATAAGTACAAATTATCAAGGTAAAGGTAAGATAAAATATGATGTTTCTCCTAGTCCTGATCCTCTGCAGTGGGACATGTTCAAGGTGCTTCACAGAAAATGTGTAATTTGAGGAGCACCATCCGCTGGCCCAAAGTCTCCTGACGCCTGATGATGAGGTCTTGTGCATCACGACCCTTTTGTTGCTCTTCCCTTACTTCTTTTTTTATTTTTTTCTCTCCTCCAATAAGGGCTGTTTGGTGTAGGTCTTGAAGCAAATTTTTGAAAGGAAAAGAATATCTCCTAAAATAAAATAAATTGACTAATTGACAGCTACAAGGCCTGCTTTCCTTGGAGACTGCGATGCTACATGTATCTTGTTGTAGGAATACAGATTAAAATTATTCCAAAGAACATTAGTTGCTGCTGTATCCTTTGGAGAAGATGAATTGTGTTTCAAATAACTGAGAATTCTTGCTATTATTGCTAGTTTGTTAGCTCTGTTCATTGAGAAAACAAAACAAATGGGCTCTAAAATGACTTAGTTTCATCCCATTTATTTTTAAATGGGAAAAGAAGTAGGCAACCACTCTGAATTTGGCATAAGAAGTAATGTTTCATGAGAACTTGTGGCATAAAAGAGTGGTAAATGCAACTTAGCAATGGCTTTTGGTGAAGCATTATTTTATTTACCCTACAGTTTGCAGAAATAACAGAAAAGACTAGGACAAGAAGCCTGTCAACTATGGAAGTAGATCCAAGGGATACTGGATCTTTGATAGGTGCACAAACATACTATAGGTTATGTACTTTGGGAATAATTCTGGTAATTGCTGAAGTGTTTTGTGGATTTCTTTTGGAAAACGAATTATTAAAATGTCTCACATTTCTTGTTTTTAAATATTATGCTTGAAAAAAAAGCGTCTCTAAAAGAAATTGTGGGGAAAAGGTAGATTTGCTTTTGGTACCAGTATGTTTGTTTTGATGTAATTTTTTGTGGTATGTTTTGATCTGCCACATGAATTTCTCTTGAAGTTATAACATGTTTTTTTTTTGTTCTTTTTAACATCACTTACAGCAGTTCTATGAAGGAAACTCTTCTATAAGTGATGCTGTTTATGGCTGCCTTGTCTTGTGTGGTGTGTGGAAATTTACTGCGTAGAAGCAGCAAAAATGTTCTGTCAGTGATGCATATATTTGTGTTCCCCACTTGCTCACCTTGGATTCAGGTGCTGCAGAGCAGGAAATCGTGGATGCTGATCATGTGCTCTCATCACTAACATTGGTGTGGCTCAACTACACGTGCGGTTGTTACGTCTTATGGTGATTTGTTGTTCAAATAAAACCTACCCTGTATGTGTTGGAGGTTTGAAACTTAAAGCAAATAAAAACATTCTTATTTTAACCTCTGTTGCAGCTGAGGCAAAACTTTTCCTCTGTTATCCTGAAAGTAGGTCTGATGTTCTGCATCAGGTTAAACATTAAAAGCACCTCTTCACATAACTACAGGAAAATGAGCTGTCGCTGACACAGTAACACCTTTCTTGTCTGGGCTTCTTGTGTTGAAACAGAACAGTCAGGTTTTGGTGTGTATTTTTCTTTTGCAGGAAGAATCCCATTCACTTCCAGCAGTTCAGTCACCCTAATGATGACGACTATCACGACATGGAGACGATATCTCAGGATAATGATGACAACCGACCAGAGTGCCCGTATGGAACAGCTTGTTATAGGTGAGAAACACTACAAAGTGGCTCTTCTTGTTTACAGGTTAAGATGTTCTCCCCTGCAGTTGCAAAGTGACAGTAGAATAATGAGAATAATTCTTGATGTTAAACCTTGACTGTAGCCTTCTGAAATGTCAGACTGTTACTTTTAAAGCACCTGGGTCTGCGCACCTTTTGCACAGTGACACAGTAAAAATCACTACTCTGTTGGTAATTTCAGCTGGCAAATGAAGACTTGGCTTTTGGTACCTATTCAGTGACTTGAAGATCAACACTTCTTCTCTTTTCAACGTTCAGTAAACTGTTCTTTTATATAAATGTATTGTTCATATATAATTTAATCTTATATGTTGTTCCTGGTATGTAACTTTTAGTTTAAATTTTGATAAAGTGTTTGTTGAGATTCTGTACAAAAGCTATTTTAATCGGTATTTGAGTTGTTAGAAAGCACAGTTGAGGTAACAATAAAAAGCAGTTTATGGGTGACTGCTGTTTTCTTTTATTCTCTGTTGATTCTCCTCAAAATATTATTTTATTCCATTTGTTCTTCAGTGTCTGGGTTTTATACTTTTATTTAGGAGAGTTTAACTTCTGTGGAATAGCCACAGTGGATAAAAAAATGTATTTTGAGGCAATAAAACTTCTGTGAGGCAATGATGAAACTAAGGTCTGCTGTTAGTGAAGATTCTCCCTGCACAGAGGTCTTTTCTCCTGGAAAGCGTGGTGATCTTAAAGAGCACGTTCTCCATGAAATGTAACTAAATGAGGGCAGCTTTTAAGAAAAAGCCATGGTTCTATTCAGCTGATGCAGAAAAGGTGTTTCTCTTATAAACTTCTATGAGATGAACTTTTCATCTCAGACTGAGCAATGTAGGTTTAGATCAGTAATGAAATTGCCAATGTGCTTTTCAGGAGTACAATGGATGCTTTATCTGAACACCAAACTGTCTCTCCTTCCAGACAGGACAACCTCTGTGCTGTATTAGTTGGTAATTTCTTAATATTTGCTGTATTCTTTGGGTGTAGAGTGAAAAGAGGCATCCATGAAAGAGTGATAATTCTTTTGATAAAGCAACAGATATAATTTGAAGGCTTTTCATGTTATTTTTGTTGTCCTCCCTTGTTGACCACTACTTGAAGGGAGCATAATCAACTGATCTAAATGCTATGCCTTGAAAATTATCCATAAAATACCAGGGAATTCTGGACTTGTTAAGTAAGGTGATGAATCAAGCTTTTACTATTTTCTTCTTTGCAGGAAGAACCCACAGCACAAGCTGGAATACAAGCACACTGCACCTCCAGGTAAGCCAACTTGGTTAATACTGCTCAAAGTGTGGGGAAAAAACCCCCAAACCCAGTGATGGCTACCCAAAACTTGTAATAAAATGCTTTAATCTACTGTGAGAATAAAGTTTACATCTCACTCTGTATTTGGGTTATTTTTTTTCTGGGATTTGTTTTCTTCTGGTAAGTTACAATTTTAAAGTCTTTTGATGCTCTAAACCAAACATTGCAACCATATCTGTCATCTTTGTGGTTTTTTTTTGGGGGGAGGGGCTGGGATTTTCTTACTGTGAGAATCAATTTTGGCATATCTGTTCTCTTCAGGCCTAAAACTGAATTTGAGTTCCTATTCGAATGCTTTGTTGTCTTTTTATATCCCAGCAACTTGACTTGTTGAAAAACACAGGGGAATGTGCCGTTTACATTTTGTCTGCTCTTAAAGAATTGAAAGAGATACTTAACATTTTTTTTTGGTGCTTTTTCTGGATTATTGAATCTGTTTTTTTTTTTCCACATGAAATCCCAATGCAATAAACAGTAGTTTAGAGCAGAACAGTTACGGAATTGTAACGATAATGTATTTTACTGTAAAGGCTCAGGATTGTGACATTACTAAGGAAGGAACTACAGTTATGGAAACAATAGCATAAAATATATGAATGCTTTTAAATATTTCAGTTTTCTTCTTAAAAACCCCCAACCTTTTGTTGAGGACATTTGATTACGGATGGCAGGGGTCATAATATTGAGAACAGTTCGTCTGGATAATCTCTTGGGAATGATTCAAGACAAAAAAGGTGGTTTTGGGTAGCAGAGTAGCTTTTATACTTGTAAGTGCAGCACAACCGTTGCAGGATTTGTTTAATGGCATAACCCTTATATCAGGGTTCACTCTGTCCTGACTAACAACTTCCCTTTCTTAGGAACTGGAAGAGGAACCCGACAAAGACCTTCAAGAAATGGTGAGTGTGTCCTAAAAGTTATGAATGGTCATATCAGCACGGGGCACAGCTGGTCTGCTGAGGGGTTTTTGGCATTTAATGCTTGCTAATACTCACCTGAGGAGAAGGTAGTTGTTATTTTAGTAAAACCCTTCTTGGTTTTTTTACAAGTAATACTGCTTCAACTGAATTAGGGCCAGGCTTTCTGGATGATCATGTCTGTACTTCCCTGGAAGCAGGCAAGAAACAAACAAGTTTTTTTGAGGAGAGGCACATGTGGCTAAATCAATTCTTCCTTCCTTACACAGGGGCCACAGTAGGATGAAAAGAATCCAATATTTCATATAAAGCTAGTTAAGGTTGCCCCATGAAGATTGATTGCTCCTGAAACATGTAGATATTTCTCCTGCTTTCTGTTGACCTTGAAATAACTTTCAAGTGATAATCTGTGCATGTGAACATGAACTTTTCTTACAATTAGGTAATGATATTTCAGAGTAAATACTGGCGTGTTAGGACTAAAGTGCAAGAAGTTTATATGTTATGGATGCATAGACACTAGTTTTAAATATGCTTTAGGGCTGCTTCCAGGATTCTTTTGTGTTTCAGCTTCTAAATGTGAAGCTTCTGATTCTTTCTAAAATAAATTAAAAGTGAGCTTTAAAGAGCAGTCTGAAAGTGTGATGCTATGCAGTCTTTCCTTTCACTGGCCTGAGCAAGACAGGACGGTGTGGAACTGCTGCATGTTGAGTGGGAGTGGGAACTGGCTTGTCTTCCTTGAGATCACCAAGGTGTGGCTGGGCATTTTCTAAAGAATTCCTCAAATGAGATCTGCCTTCTAGAGAAAATAAATAAAAGTGCAAAGAGTTGTAGTTAGTTTTCTAGGCAGAGTGGTTTGGCCTTCATTTCTGTTGTGGGTGGCTGCAGGAGGTTGTTTTAAACTTCCTGCTGAGAAATTTCTTTCCCATACCAATTCCTTATCAAACATGGGTGCACTTTGGCTCTCACCAAATGCTTGCTATGGTTGTATCTGTGCACCAGAGTACTCTGAGGCTTATTTGTTACCTGTGTGCTTTGGTGCCTCCTGTGATGCAAGTACCAGCCCCATCTTGATCAGATGGTTCCTTGTAAAAATGTGTTACAGAGGGGTCCGAGCTGCTGGCAGCAGTGTAAGAGCAGTGAGTGGTGAAGATTGTGGAATGAAGCAGGCTGGGCTGTGTGCATATCTAGAAGTCTAAATCTGTCTAATTCAACTCTCGTTACTAAGTAAGAACCAGGGAAGAATCGATATTCCATGCACAGGGGAAAGAAGGGAATTAATTCATTAAAGTGCTGTTCATATTTACTGAGTTTTTAAATTTTTTTTTAATATCTTGTTGACTGGCTTACTTAGCTCTCTTGAGGGCAAAGCTTGTAAAAGGTGGTGCTCAGCAGGTCACACCTGAGGCAGTTGTACCAAGCAGGGTCACACAAGCAGTCAGGGCTTCATTAAGCTTTATTTTGTGCTGTTTGGCACAACTGCACCATTAAGCACAGCAGGATTAATTTCCCTATGTGTGTATTTAAACTCCAGCAGCCTAGAGAAGAGGCTCTACGTGACATTTGACATGTTTGGTTTTTTAACATTTTTATTCTAATTGCTACCAGAGGGGTTTATGAATTGCCTGCAGAGAATGTTCTAAAAAATAGTCTGAGGCAAATTACTGGGGGAGTAGTTGTGAGGGAGGAAGAAAAAAAAAAAGTCAAGAGTTATGTTGTCGTTAAATTGTCACAACTGAATGACCTCGCTGTGTTGTTGCTACTGAGATGAATGACCTGCTGTGACCATGAAATATGAAGGATTCTCCTACACACTTCTTTGTAGGTTTTCTAGCAAGCTGATCAGCTCACTTCCAAATAGAACTCTTTGGGAGGAGTGGTCAGCAAGCTTTTTCTCCTCCACATGAAGGAGATACTTTCAGAGAAAGTTTAAAGATCATCTTTATAAATACAGTAACTGGGAAAGAGGCAGAATTGAGCTTAATGAGCGGTGTTGGGGGCTGATGCTGAATTAAACTACAATGGAAAGAGGTGGATGGGGAAGACATGGAAGGAAGTGCATCATTCCCTGCTGAAGTCTAAAAGCATGGGTGTGCAGGGAGGGAGAACATACTATGCTAGTCCTGCATTTGTAGGAAAAATACAGAAGTGGTAAATATTGTGCCAGAATTCCTGCTTCTCTTGTAAAATGCCACCCACAGTGGTGTGAAAGTGAAGAACTTTTCTTTGCTAAGCAGCTCTTGGTTTTATTATTCTCATAAGCTTAGTCTGAGTAGTGCGATTTTGTTCTTACTTCATTCAACATCTTTGTTGTGGCCCCTCCCCTCCAAGCCATAACTCATTCTGCAGAACCATACTCTGTGATGAATCTTACAAGAAATTCTGCTGGTATGGGCTAACCTGGCCATGATTAATTTCCACTGAAGTCTCTTAAACAATAAACTAGCAAGCATAAAAAGGAAGATAATTCTGGAGCAGTAGCATTCCCAGTAATAAAAAGGTGTAACTGATAGAGGCTGTGGTCTGACTACACAAGGTACCAGTGGTGGTGGTTGTTCACCACACGCAGCTTGAGCGCCTGGAACTCTGACCTAAAGCTTTAAGAGTTTGCTGGAAAGTGCTTATGGTTAATATAAAGGTGAGGATTTGGACTGGGGTCTGTGGCTGAGAAAAAAAATACATGTTTATAGTTTCATGTGAAAGCTGATGATAACTGCTCAACTGATAAGTTATCTGTCCCTTTATCATGGAGAGATTATCTCTGGATAGGAATGCAAAAATTGGAGGCTTGAACTCAGAGGTGTGACTTAATGGCAGAATAAGACTTGACTAGAATGTCAACAGGCCATGGCTAGTTAGGAATTGCAGACATGCAAGAAAAAGGGAGATGTCATAGGCTTGCAGAGAAAAGGTTACACATATCAGCCAAAATGCAGTGAAAATTACCTTGTGGAAAGTGTTCACTACTGATAAATAAAAGAAGGCAACACTGCTGTGGCAGCAGCTGTGTATAGGTACCAACCTATGGATGCCTATCAAGTCAGATGGGTAAGGCTTCTTCAAACAGCAGGATTATCCCGCCTCTGGGAATCAATTTAAATGTGCCAGCATGTTCAAGCAGTGTAAAGGCTGCTGCAGGACAAACTACAAAAAAGTTTGTGAAATGCTGTGAAGGCAGAAGGCAATTTGACGACAAAATGTAAGTTATGAAGCAGGTGGATGGGAAGCAGATTGGAAAGCAGTGCGATATAACAGACTGAACTGGGACACAGGTAGGCTGCCCCCAGCTCAGGAAAGTGTTCAGCACTTGCTGTTTCCTTTCTCCATGTTCAGAAAGGAAGCACAGACTACCCAGCGTGGATCCAAATGGAGAACGTAGGAGGCAAGTGATATAGACTCCCTTCTCTCACCTGAAGCTCGGGAAAGAAGTGAGTAGGAATTAAAAGCCATGTCAGATTCCAAAGACTGAAAGTATAAAATAGCCCTAAGTATATATGGATGGATGAAGAAGTCGTCTTTGATCTAGGATCAAAGTAACCATGGAAGTAAATCAGGAGATAGATGTGTTTAGCTGATTCCTTCTCCTCTCAAGGAAGAGAGACTTAACTTGGTGGGCTCTGGGAGGGCTTTTGAGTTCCGCATTTATGATTCGGGAGCACATGACATTTTTGTCCCTACAGGAAAAAGGGCTGTGGAGAAAGACAGTGCCGATGATGGTGAAGCCAATGAATATGACCTTAATGACAGCTTTATAGATGATGAGGAAGAGGAGTGTGAACCTACTGATGAGGACTCGGACTGGGAACCAAGTTCAGAAGAAAAGGACAATGAGGATATTGAAACACTTGTGCAAGAAGCAGGTAGATTTGTTAAGACGAAAAAATAGCTGCTTGGAACAACGCTATGAGCGTCCAGTGTGGTTCTGTTAAAACGTGGTTGCACAGAGGAGAGGAATTGTTTGAAAACTTTTTCTCAGTGATGTAGGAGCTACAGGAAGATTTTAATGGGGCCAGGGGATTCAGCAATGCCTTTCTTGTCCGTATGTATTATTTTGGGAGTGGTGTGGAGCTTTTTTTATTAAGTGGTGGACCCACAGGATGGAGCTCTGAAAGTTTTGGTTGATTTTTCTTTTTTTTTTTTTACTCATCTATTTGTTTTACAATGCCGTTGGTATTTTGAAGTACAATTTTAAAGGTTGTTAAAACTTCATCTCCCTGTGCTTGAAAGAAACACTGGCATTAGGAAAGCCTAAACCATTTTTTAATGTTCCTTTGAGTTAGTGCAGTTGTAAACTTCATTATTCTGCTCCCAGCTTTCCTTTTAGGTATCATTTTGTTGGTTCTCTTGAGGTACAGTAATTAAATGCAGGTTGTCTAAATCACTTGAGAACGGTATCTCAAGTGTATTGAACCGCTTGGTTGGCTCAACAACAGTTATGGTGTATTTGCTCCAATTACAGCAGTACCTCTTTCCATGCCTGTATATCACTGGAATTGTGTTCAGTTCTTAGCAAAGCTGGTCTTGATGACTGACTGTATTTTTGCACAAATAAACTTGTACCATACAGTAGGAAAGATGTGTTAACTGTCTCTGTGATTTCTGAAGACATTGTTGGAATATCTTGCCTTTGGTGTGTTCACTACTTTCCTGAACCTCCTAGAAAGTAAGTTCAAAAGTTTTAGTATGTTTTGGGATGGCTGTGACTAGAACCATGTGAATTTGGCACTTTTTTGGACACAGTCCTAAAGTTCATCTGGGGAATCATTCTTGTGTGGCTGCAAATAGATATCCAAATGCACTCCAGCTGTTTTTATGGACTTTCCAGGAGGACTTTGTGGATGTGGTGTCCTCTGCAATACCCATACTGGGTTTTTTGACTCAAGATCACACACCCTCTTGTTGTCAAGAGGCTCCTCTTGGAGAAAAAAATGCCAAGGGAAACCAAATCCAGTGGTGCCAGGACCTTGCCATTCCTGCACTGAGCTGTGTGTGGCCTCAGCCCCTCCCTAGAGCCCTGAGCCCTCCTGCTCCCACCATGCTGGGGCTGTGTTGGGTGGGGAAGCTGTTGCCCTCAGGGCCAGGGGACAGGTGAGCCAGTGTGGAAACCATGGGTCAGACCTGCTGGACCACCATGTTGTTGCTCCTGACCACTTCAGGAGCCAGCTCCTTACCTCACAGACCTTCTGGAGCCCTTCCCCTTGTCCACCCTGAGCAGCTGCCCCACAAAAGTCTTTCACTGTGCCACCCCTGAAGAGTTTTACGCTGTGCTATGCTGCCCCTTCTGGAGCCCTTTGCCACAAGGTCCAGCTGTTTTTGGAATCTCATATTGTATTATGCTGGTTTCCTTCCCCTTACTGCCCAACTTTTATTGGAGGCGTTCATCACAGCCTCACAGAGGAGTCCTTCACTGCCTTTCTTTAGCATGTTGTTCACGGGTTCTTTTGTTTTCTTCCTCACCTGGTATTTTTTGGAGTGCATCACCATGTGGTGAGGAGTCCTTCAGACCTGTTTGTTTTATTTCTTTGGCTTTGCAGAGGCTTCCACCTCTTTTTGAGGTGTTTCACCCTGTGGCTTTTCTCTTGACTTCTACAGTGACTGGTGTGTGCTGGAGCACTTTACAGAGCTATTCTGGAGCAACGCTTCACCCCTGGCTTTTTCAGAGTGCTGCATGCCCAGATGTTATTGCTGTGCTTTCCTGCTTCCTGTGATGCTTTCCATGTGTTAACTTCCACATTTTTTTCTTCTGGAACCAGCAGATGAGCAGGTACAGAAGTTTACATGGAGTTTTGATGATCCTCTTTAGCTGGGGGATGCCTTTTTCCAGGGAATGTTGCCATCTTAGTGTGTCTTCTGTCACTTACCAAGTTTTGGTTTTGAGGGAGGTGACTTTGTGCTTCGAGCAAATACGTGCTTAGTGATGTATCTTACTATTCATGATTATTGGTGGTTTTACATCGGGGTTCTGTGTTTTTTTTCTGTGTGATATTACGAAGGTCACTTTAGGAGCTGCAGGGATCCCTGCTTCATCAGTGATTTTGAGGTGCAGCTCAGGGAGCTGGGGATGTTTAGCCTGGAGAAGAGGAGGCTCAGGGGTGATCTTATCATTCTCTAGAACTACCTGAAAGGAAGTCGTAGCTGGGTAGGTTTCTGCTCAATTGATGTGTGTTTTTCCACCCGTGTGGCTTGGAATGTTTGGAAGGGAGCAGCCCAAGCACAAGTCACAGCCCTGCTGACACAGGGAGCGAAGGAGAATACAGACACCACAAGCACCAGGTAAGTGCCTGGGTGCCCGAATGACAAAAGCTGAAGCATGTTTTGCCACTTGTTGGAATCCTGGGAATACCTGCAGGAGGCGTTCCCAAGGCATTAGGTGTGAGCTGATGCAGTTTTCAGTGACCCTGTGCTGCAGAGGCAGCAGCTGGAGGGTGCTGTTGCCACAGGAAAGGATGGGAGGCTCCAGAAGAAGGAGCACAGCCAAGTCTGAGGTTCTGAGTGAGTCGGTTATTGGGAAAATTTACCATGCTGGCTATTTTGACCTACCCTGGAGGTCTGGAGGTCATCCCCCTTTGGTAAAGGGACAATTGCTTTAATAACATGCAGCCTTTGTTTTCTTAGTGCTTGTTTCTGAGAATGAAAGCTTTTCCTTCTCTTAATCCTCTCTTAGTTTTTCAGGGTCCCCATTTTAGCTTCTAGTTGCACCTGCGTTTTTGTTTTTCATTGTGACTGGATTTTACCCTCAGTTATCCCTGGAGAAGGTGCTGTAGTAGGAAGTGAGCCTATGGTTTTAGAGCTGTGCCACAGGAGGACAGCTGAGCAGCAATCCGGTGTGGTAGCACCACAGTTTTGCTTTTGGCAATAAAAATTGGAGCTAGCTACAACCAAGGTGGTATCTGGTTGATTCGCTGCATGGTTATCTAAACCCTGAGAGTTAAGGGCTCTCAGGAGGATGCCTCAACCCTCACCTGCACCTCATCCATGACACATCCCACACTTCCTGCATGATGAAGCCATTATTGCCTCTGTGTTCCTGAAGCTAATAATGGGCAGCTGGCGGCCACAGGGATCTCACTGCAGTTTTTCCTGCCTTCCAGGAGGCAGGAGTTCTGCGGAAAGGGCCTGCTTCTCCTCTGGAACAGGTGCTGCCTTCCTCAAAGCTTGTGCTGCTTGTCATTCTCTGTTTAAGCATGGCTCTTGCAAGCAGAGCTCCGTGTAGGTGCAGTCCATATTCAGTTCCCTCTCTAAATGCCCTTCAGTGTAGGTGAGAAAGTGTTTCTGCAGGGAGTGGCCAGGCAGGAGGCAGCAGGGTGTCCCCTACCTGACAGGGAGCTGAGGTGTTGGCACCCACCTTTCCTTAGCCTGAGTTCTAAGAATGAAAAAAAACCCCTTCTGTTGTTTTTTTCCCTACATGGCTCATCTAAGCTCAAGGAGTGTGGGGTCTGGCCCCATACCCTGGTCCGCGGCCTACCAGCTCCCCCCTGCCTGAGGGAGCTGCTCAGGTCATGGCCTGTCCCTGCTGCCTGCACATTTATGGAGTTTTCCCAGGAGGTTTTAAGCGGCTTTCTGTCTGCGTACAAGGCCCTGAGCCCCTGCTTGCTGGAGCTCAGTTTAGGAGCAAATGTCTCTGAAAGTAGGACCTGTTTGAAGCTGTTTGGAATTGGTGCAGACACGGCTAAGGACGACGTGAGTGCTTGGTGCTCTGACAAGGGGACAGGGGACCGTCGCCCTTCCTCGTGGGAACCCCCCTCTCTCCGGGGTTGTTGCTTGCAGTTGAGGGCAAAGCAAAGCTTATTGTCCTGCCCTATCCAGAGGTTCAGGCTGAAGCACTACTTTGCTGCTGGGAAGACCTCAAAGTGTCAAAAACATGGCAATGTTGCAAAGACTCTAAAACCTAAGCCTGCAGTGGCAGCTGCTACTTTGCTACCCTTGGCAGGGGCAGAGATAAGAACTGCGGGCAGGCTGGACCAGAAGAGCTCTCTTGGAGCTCTCGAAGTGATTTCCAGAATTTTAAAGCAATTCTTTCCCCCAGTTTTTGCTTAGTTCTGTACTGCTTGGTGGGGGTTGAGGGTTTTTCTAGTAACTCAGCCTGAGAGGGATTTCCGGGTGTGGAAAATTGCCAGTTGCTTGACTTTTGCACCAAAAATGTGTGGGGAAAACAGGTGGAAGGAGTATCAGGACACCCTAATAACAGGTAGTATTCCTAGCTAATCCCCAACAACCAGTGCAGGTTTTAAGAGATACATATGGGAGCATAGTTTCAGAAGGAACCATGAGATTTCAGGAGAGATTAAAAGCCTTTTGATGGTGAAATACAGCAGCTCTCTGGTCCCTTAAGTTTCTTTGGCAAGCTGGGAAATGAATGGATTTAGTACTTAGCCCTGTTTAAAACTGTCATTTTGAAGGATGACTTCAGTAATTGTTTTTGCCTAACAGCAAATGATGACATCCTCTCCAATGTATATTTAAGAGCAGCTAATGATGAGAGGATTTGAGCACTTTAATGGATTTGAATATCCTTTTGCCCTTAAATTTAATTGGTCAATTTTTCTTTAACAGAAATGGGATTGTTCACATTAGTCAGTTGGATAGGAAAGTGACAGCTAAGGGAAAAAGATAAAAAATAATTCAGAATTATGATATTGAGGCAATATTTACTGTTTTATTGGCAGGATTTGCTGCTCACTTAAATTCACAAATAGACAAGAGTTATTTACAAAAGCCATTTACTCCAAAAGTAGGTTCAGCCACATACTTTAAAACAGGAAGCATTTGTCATCATGATAGAAAATATTTGATTTCAATACACAAAAGTCCACGATGTCTTATGTGCAGTTGAAATGAGTAGGTATTACTGCTGCTCTCACCTGCTTTGTCACGATTATCAGTTAAAAACACCCAAACTGGATTCACACAAAATCAGAACAGTGAAAGGAGCACTGGGGGAGGCAATGCAGAATTCATCTGGAGCTGGTGCCTCACGTTTGAGCTGACCACGAGCCATTCAACTCAACCAGAGACTGGCTTGCTGAAGCCTGTCTTGCTCCTGGGAGTACAGGTCATCTTGGGATCTCCTTGGTGTTTTTGAGCCCCCTTGTACTTCACGGTGATGGTGCACACAGGCTTGGTAAGGTGTCTGGGCCTGGTTCAGCGAGCTGGATTTTTCCCACTATCATGTTTTCTATGGGTCCCACTGACAGACAAGCTGAAACACGTGAAATTCCATCTGAACGTAAGAAAGCACTTCTTCACTGTGGGGGCTGTTGAACACTGACACTGGTGGTCCAGGGAGCCTGTGGAGTCCCCTTCCCTCGAGTCAAAGCCCAACTGGACACAATCCTGGGCAGCCTGTTCTAGCTGAACCTCCTTGAGCAGAGGGGTGGGCTAGACAATGTGGAGATGTTATTCCCCACCTGTAGGATTTTGTGATGGATTCTGTGGTGACCTCAGTATCTCAATGCAGCAGAAGCTGGTCATAGGGTGCCTGGAGGTGAGGGAAGGGAACAGGTCCCTTCCATATGTATCTTTGCCATTTCCAAATGCATGGCAGAGTTATACTCTCCATAACACTACAGAGTGG